ATTTCTTAATTACCATGGCTAATCTGATTGGTCCAAATTATACAATTTTCAAAGTGCTAGAGAATGACAATCTCACACAGACATTTTGAAAGGTTGATGTTGCTTTAATGTTAAAATATTTTTAAAAATTCAATTTAAATTTTTTTTTTAAATCTTTTTAAAATTAAAGAAATAAGAAATAATTGTATTAAAAATTCAATTTTCATTGAAAAAATTTTTTGCTTTCAGAAAATATTGTCCATATTCATAAAAACAAATTAAAACAAATAAAAGCATTTGAAACTAAATAATATATTTGTTTTATTGAGTTTTGTATGTTACAATTCACAGCTGATTTTCAGGTATGTTGGCCAAAAAAAAAAAAAAAAAAACATGATTTGCATTCTTCAAAGCCTTGTGCTTTTTTTTAACTATTGTAATCACTAAAACCGATGGTCTCGAATTTCTAGAGTTTTTCATAAAATTAGTTATGGGGGTGTTAATAAATATAAAAAAAAAAAATATTTCTGCCATGACTTTCATAAAAAAAAAAAAACATATTTATAATAATTTTGATCATCTGTGAATAGTTTCTGAAAGTTTCATTAACATCTGACAATTATTTTATTTTTGCAAGATTTTCCAAATTAATGTGTGTAAATACAAAAAAAAACGCTAAAAATTATCAATGATATTTACTACCCTTGTTGCGACAAAGAGAAACAAGGTTTTTTTTAAATCAAAATTTAGAATATTCTCAAAAGATGGAAAATTTTTTAAAAAATAATTAAAAAAAATTTAGTCTATCCTCTTCATAAAAACATAAGCATTTTGACCATAAAATTTTGTTTTCATAAACTTTGGCGTCTTTTTCATCAGACTATGCTCTATGTTTTAGTGATTCCGTGGAGTGACTTAGGTTAAAAAACCCAGGTTGTTTGTGTGCGTGTGTTCCTTTATATATGGGATCGGATTTCTTACATTTTTCAGCCGATAAAACAAACGTCCACTTTTTTTTTGGCAGGTAGTATTTCTTATTGTCTTGCACACTTTTTTCTTTATTTATACATTCAGAATGCTTTAAAAATTCCATTTACAAAACAATTGTTTATAATAAAATTCTAATTCTATTCAATCGGGGGACTCATCATAACGATATTGAAAACAATGTTTTTGTTTGAGTTTGACCAAATCATAAAAAAAAAAAAAAAAACAAACTAAGACATGCATGTCCGTCAACGTAAACAATAATCTAACGATCTCTACTGATTGTACGAATCGAAAAATCGGATAATTCTTTATCTTTAGGGAAAGATAATTCCACGTACTTTAGGGCCGTTTTTACAATTCCCTTTTCAAATTTGTTACAAGGCAGATCAATAAGGCATTGGTTCTATTTGAAATTAATTCAATATTTAAAAGAAAGTATTAAGAAATAATTGCCAACGTAAGAAATATGATAGACAAAAAACAACAATATTTCGAAGATGATAATTATTAAGGAAAGAACACAGTACTTGTAATAAATTAATAAACCCAAATAAAGTTAATATTTTTTGTATTAGAAACAACGAGTGGAAAATATATTCAAATCAGAATTCTAATTATGAATCACCACAAGCAAAATATGCAATTTTTTTACTGTATTCAATAAGTAAAAATCATAAATTGTAAAAGATTACAGAGAAAGGCTACCTACATTTTTCAACAGATTTCAACAAAACTTCACTTTTTTTTGGCAGGTAGTGTTTCTTATTGTCTTGCACAATTTTTCTTTATTTTTACATTCAGAATGCTTTAAAAATTCCATTTACAAGACAATTGTTTATAATAAAATTCTATTCACCAATCGATATACTCATAACGATTGTAAACAATGTTTTTATTTGGATTTGGGTTTGACCAATTCGTAAAAAAAACAAACTAATTAACACATGCGTGTCCGTCAACCTTAAACAATAATCTTTGTCAATTTTATTTCTTAGTCTTTATGATGGTCGATACTTTTACTGTTACATCCCCGGGCAACGCCGGGCTCTACTGCTAGTTTTTAATAAAGCAAAAACTCAACAAAAACAGACGTCTCAGTTGTATTTTGATGTGAAAATACAATATCACTAGACAAAGAAGTATTTTATTTCATTGAGGTATTTCATAAATTTCTTCAATTACAAAAGTATTAATTTACTGTCTGAGAGCTACTTTGTTACTAATGGTAAAAAGACTATTCTTTTATAAAGTTCTAATTTGCATAATTCTTACATTTTTAGAGTTTGTTTCGCACCAGTGACTGAATCATGTTAAAAATGTATAATTTTCATTTCAATATATCTATTGCCAATTTATTGAAACTTGCCATTGTTGATGAAACATGCTTACACCACTATGATCTAGACTAAATAAAGATCTATTCCATGGTACTACTCATGCTCTCTGTGATCAAAAATATTTAAGACCCAAAAGTCAGCAGGAAATATTATAACCAAAATATAGAAGGTATTTTGATGTCTATCTTCAGAAGGCCCAGTTTATACAGACTTGCTATACCAATTAAATGCAACATTGTATAAAAATGAAATAAAATTGTTAAACAAAATAATAATAATGATTAATAAAAAAACAAAAAAGAAATATATTTTCCCCACAATGCTAAGAGTAAATAAACCCAAAATATGATTACTCCACTTGGTTTTGTCAAACATCATTAGGTAATGCTGTTGAAGTCTATAAAAAGACAAACATTCCCTGCCTCACTCTTTCTCCTTTTTACCCCAAAATGTAGCACCACATGGTAATTATGTTCCTGCTAGTGAACGCTAGTTTCCCCAGTCCACTGTCAAGTGAACTCTTTCCACTTTCCAATACATGGTGCCAGCATGTACCTTCCAAAAACACAACCTATGAAATAAGTCAAGCTTTCTCTTTGGTTGTTCTAACTTAGCGCAAGGCTGACTTGAGCATGACCATTGTAGTGATGCTTATACTGACTTACCCTAATTTTAGAACCAAGAAAAAAAAAACAAACATCCTGTAATCGTCTCTAAACCTTCCAAAGAAAGATAAGTAAGTACAAACTTTCTGTTCCAACACTGCACAATGACTTGAGTTCAACCATGAATGTGATACTTATTACTTACCTACTCTAACTTGTGGACCTGAAAGATGGTGGACATACCCAAGAGACATAGAGAAATTTATTTCACTAGTCACCATAATGATAGAGAATAAATGGTCTGTAGTAGAAACCAAAGTTTTCATCTGCTGCTTATTTGTTCATCATATATGAACATACACACAAACACTCAACCTTTTAAATTCTATAGAATTCAAAGGTAAATGGTAAAGGAAGTTGTAGAATATTGTTCTTTTTCTTCTTTTTTTCAAGACAAGGCAATTTCAAGGCTGACAAATCAATAGCAGTATTTCAATAACCATATTTTGAATGAGGGTTACAGAAAGTAGAGAAATGTGCCAAATTGAAATGAATATGGAGAATAGTATGTATGTTTCATGTCTAAGTTGAGCCAAGAACTTTTCAGCACCTCAGTTCTTTTTTTTTTAAATTTGTTTTTTAAAAAATATGTTTGATTAGACTATGGCTTGAGAACCTGCCAGTTCTACCAAAATGGCATCCCATCAATTACTTTTTCTTATAGAATCAATATGAAGTTGAAGCCATCTATTCACTGTAAGATATTTTTCTTTAAAAAATAATTTCTTATTCAGTAAACTAACTTAATTCTGAACGTTTTTTTATACTTCTGTAGAAATATTAATTTCAAATCTCAAGGACTTCATTTTCCTCACATGACTAAGGAGACTTGTTTTAAGTAAATTTAATATAAACTAGAAATAACAATGAAAATTTCATGTTTTTTTTTCATCTGAATTTTCTGATGTACCTTAAGTTAATGATTGAATAAGCTCTTTGCAAGTTCCAGAACTATAAAATACTCATGGAAATTCCCGTATTGCCTCCTTAAATATTTAAACTTAACAACTTTAACAAAATATTAGAATAACAATCATAATTATGAATGCAGGTCATTATTTAAAGTAAGAGGGTACAAATGAAAAGATTAAAAATTGACAAGGATTTCCATTTTACTGAAGCATATATTAAACACATGAGATTGTTATCACTTTCTTTTAAACTAAACAGAGCTTTTCTTTTGTTTTGTAGGCAGGGGACAGCAATCTATTACAGGTTTATCCTCACAATCAAACAGCAATGGCCAATTATTTATCTGAGGTAATAGGAGGGCATAATGTAGATGCTAAGGAACAAAAAGAATTATAATATGATGGGAAATAGAATTATTGCACAAGATTCAAGAATTAAAAAATAAAATCAACTGAAGGCAGAAATGTAAGAATATTTTTTTTATTCTACACTATGACAATATATTTAAACTACAAATATAATGTGATATTCAACAATCAGAACAGAAAAAGCCAGTATGTCTGTGTAGGAGAGACAGATCATTACATAACAATTAAAAAGCTGAAGTCTGCAGATGGAATATTTGTATTAACATCAAAAGACTCAATTGTCAACACCAAATAGTTTTTCAGTAGATAAATTCTTACTTCTCTTCAGTCACTTCACAGAAAAAAATATGAATATAATGATTGTCTATCATAGTCATTACACTCAAAATATATAATAATATTAAATGCTACAAGTACAATGCCATATAGGATATTTCCAATATGAACACTTTAGCCATCTGTCAGCAAATGTCTTTTCTACAACTGCTTGGTTGATATATTTAATACATTCACAATAATTTATATAAATTGTGTTGTTAATGAAACTTATCATTTCTCTCATGTACATCTTGATAAAATTGTGACTTTTCCTTTGTTGAATCTCATTGAATTTGCTGTCTGACCATTCTTGTACCACCATTACCACCATCTTTGTTTAAGATAACATCACATTAATCAGCACTTTGGAAATATCTAGCAGTAAAGAGTCAGATCAAACTGGAATCTCTAGATATTAAATTGTTTAAAATTTAACTAAATAGCCATTCATTGGATTTGTTTCTGAAAAATAAACATTAAAACAAGTTTAGATTTAAAAAAAAAACAAAAAACAAAACAAAATATTGTCTAATTATAAACACAAGTTTTGTAACTTTAAACTTTTAGGCAGTGATTTAAAATGTAAAATTTAACCAAGGAAGCATAATGCCTTTATTAAAATTAATAAAAAGTAATATATGTAAGAATCTACCATTTCAATATTTTTAACTTGTGTCCATAAAGGATCATTGATTTCTTTGAAATATACAAAAAAACTATTTTATTAGTAACTCCAGAATTTTGTTAGTGATTAGTATTGCTCACACCATTTTATCTAGAAGTAACAGATACTGACTTAGTAATGTTTCTTAACATATAAACACACATCTGGAATTTGGTAAATATTATTTTGAAAAATAACAACAACAAACAAAATGATTGATGTAACTTTTCCAATATTTTTCAACACTTAGAGAAGAACTCAATTTAAGGAAAGTAAAGACGCCATGTTTAACAATGTTCAACAATATTTCAACAGTATGTCTCTCTTCAAGTTATGTTTAAAAATTGTATACAAATATAAAAATAAAAAAAAATTTACAAAAAATTATAAGTCTTTCTACAAATGTCATTTGTATTGAGAAAATGGCTGTACTGGTAATCAATGTGTCAAAACAAATGAAACACAGCCAGCATGAATGGCATGCAACGAAAAAGTGAGTAATATGGTGGTGATTGTGCTTATCTTGAAATTTTTCATTAGTTATTCAGAGGAATTAATCAAACTGCTTAGTATAAATTTTATGAAACTTTCCTTTTTTTTGCTTATTTTTTACCATTTTGCTTTGTAACTTATTTTATTCTAGTGTCATTAGGTGGACTAGTGTGTCAAACAGGGATATTTAGATGCTGGTTTCATATTGTTAGCCCTAGAAGTCCTACAAGGATTCATTATTGGCAGCCACAATTTTAACAACATAAGATATGCAGATGACAGTGTTGATAACAGACACAAAAAGAAAGCTATAAAAAAACCTACAGAAGGTAGAGAAGTAAAGAGTGAAGAAAGGATTAAACATCAAATACAAGAAGACAGAATGCACAGTTGTTAGCAAAAGGATGAGCCCAAAGTACAAATTGCAAATCAAAGATGCCAAAATTAAACAAGTGCAGAAATTTAAATATCTGGGAAGTATTTTAACAGAGGACAGAAAGTGTGACACTGAAATCCAAAAGAATATTGGGATAGTCAAGAAAGCATTTCAAAACCTAAGCAGAGTTCTAAGAAATAGAAAAATTTTGCTAGAAACTAGGAAAAGAGTTCTAAACTGTTACATGATATTTGTCCTCTACAGCAGTGCATACTGGATGATCTACTCAAAGATGAAGAAGAGACCAAGAAAGAGTCAGCTGTTACTTAACAAATTCTTACAAAACCCACTAATCAACTGCAAGAAAGTTCTGGAAAATACAAAATGTAGCTATGCACAAGCAGTCCAGGTCAAGGTTGTAAACAAACAAACTAGATCCCAAAAATTCTGAAGAATCTCCAACCAAATTATGAATAGAGACAAAGCAGTTATGCCCACGATTAGAAATGGTCATATCTTCCTTAACAAATAAGGTGAAGTTCTTCGTCTCAAATTCAATGTTAGATGACAAAAGCCATCCCTTCCCCAACTTCTCATCTCGGCAATATTTTTATTACAGCCTAAGAAATCTCAAGACATCAAAAGCCCTGAACCTAAAAAAGCTGCTGGCCCTGATCCCAGTGTTCATCCTTAAGAATATTAACTCAGAACTATCCCCCGAAAGATTGCTGCTCAAGCTCTCTAGCTATGGAATCTCTGGAAGAGTCTTCTCAATAATAAAGTTCTTCCTAATATTTATAGAAAAGGTGCAGGGAAGGTACATTACATTGAGAAAAGGAATGAAGCTGAGGTGCCAGGTCAGGATGGATAAAATTTCAGATTCTTCCTTGTATTTTATCTAGAATCTATAAATACATAGCAGAAGCACCAGACTTTATGCAGCAGCAATATTCAATGTATTAACTAATGTAGACTTATAAAAGAGCTAAATAGATTCTGACAACAAAAAAAAAACATCTAGCACAACACAGTGAGTCCACTTTCCTAGCAGCAGACCTAGCAAATAATTCAATATAATCTTTCCACCTCATGTCAGTGGAAAATGTTAGCACAAGTAGATGCAATGAGTCACTCTCCTGGAGGTTAGCATCAGCCATGCTAACGAAAGACAAAAAAGGTTATCTAAGATAATTAAAAGAGTGCAGTTTTGTTTTGGAGGCATTAAAACATTTCTAACATTCCTGAAGGTAGTTGTTAATGGCCAGTCCTCTGGGGCCCTAGCAATTAATGCAGGTGCCTCCCCAAGAGTCACTTCTTGGACCAACCCTCTTTTTGCTTTGTATGAATAAGAGTATAATCAGATTATTGGTGAATATGCCAATGACACAATGCACCTCCAAAACTTGTGATGACCAAAATTTGGCAGCTGATCTCTCATCCAATTTAGCTCTAACATCTCAGTGAGAGTAAAAACTGGCTGGTTTCATTGAATGCCTCAAAAACAAATCTAGTTTGGACATCGAAGTACCACCAGTTATAATGAATGGATGTCACATCGGAGAGCATTTATTGGGCCTTAAACTCACCCCAGACCTCAAGTGGAACTCATATATACAATTCATGTACTGTTCCAGTACTGGAATCCTCATGCTATCTGTTACCTTTACAAGAGCCAGATCAGGCCTAAAATGGAGTATTTCTGTCATATTTGGGAAGGAACAACCTAGTCCTCACTTTTCAGTCTCAATAGAGTCCAAAAGTGTCACTGTGTCCTTGTGGGTGACATTTTCCACCTTGCAACTCCTCTTTCATAAATGGGATGTGATAAGTCTCTCACTGCTCTGTTGCTACTTCCATGGAAAGTGCTCAGATGAAATGCATTCTTTTTTCTGCCAGTTCAAACTTTCATGATGAGGATCCACCATGCCACTCACATTATAACAAACCACACTCATTCCCTCCATATTCCTTTGGTGAGAAGTAAGTTCCACTTGAGCAGCTTCTTCCCACAAACCACTGCACTGTGGAACCGACCCAAGAGGATGTTTCCCTGATCACTGATGGCTAAGCAGAATATTAAGAAACAGAAAAATTTCATTAGAAACAAAGAAAAGAGTACTGAACTGTTATGTGATACCTATCCTTCTATATGGCAGTAATGCTGGATACTCTCCTCAAAGATGAAGTGACTTGAAGCAACAAAAATGTGGTTCTACAGAAGGATGCTGTGGATACTATGGACTGAATATGTGAGCAATGAAGAAATTTTAGAGAAAATGAGAACAAAAAGGAAACTTATACTTAAAATGACTTTCTTCTGTCCATCTTGCCTTCAATCTATGCTGTGAATATCAAATTGTCCAAGCCCTCTTTCCTATATGCCCTAGAAACTGAGTGAGACCTTGATTGGTCTCTGTGTTCTGCAAAAATTTATCTGGCTTTCAATATTCATGTTCTGAAAACTGCTAGTAGATAGCACTCACTGAACATGCAATATAGTTACACCATTTTTTATTGTTCCTTCTGTTATGTGTGTTGTAAGGTGCTATTATTAATACAGTGTCTAAGCAACATTTTTATAAAAGCAAATAAAATCCAGATATCTAACTTATCATTCTAAGAGTCAAATAGATCAAATTTTATTTATTGTTTTTTTTAAGATATTCAGAAAAATATTTTTCTCTCCTCTCTAAGCAACCATTCCCAAAAAATAGCAAGGACAACAATCTTTTGTATTTTTGTGAATGACTGTAGAAAGTAATACTTACGTAACATCCAACTTTGATAGAGATTTTCCATTGAATAAAAGTTCTGCAAATTTAGCAACAATTGGGTCATGGTTGAGGCTTGCCACAGCAACAGCTTTATTCTCTCTGAAAATAGAAAAAATAAAATATGAATTCAAAGATTGGCTTTTATCTAGAACATTTAACCAAATGTTAAAATTATTCCGAGTAAAATCATTTCAATAAATTTTTTCAAATAAATATCTAAGCATTTAAAGATAAATAATGAAGCAATTAAAGAGATTAAAGTTAAATACTAAAGAAACACTCTTTTAAAAAATCCATCTAAAAAGCAAATAAAAAAGAAAAAAAAACAGCTTAAGCCCCGAGATTTAATTGATTGGAATGTTTCGATTGATGTAATGTAACATTATGTCATAGATGGGATAAGTTCCCTTAGAGATGAACTTGTTCAGTATCTACCAGAAATTACTACCTAACCATATTGGAGTGTTTGCTCTATGTTGTCAGGGTGTCTGCCATCTTGACAATATTAAAGTTATTTTTACTTCTGACCTACAATAATCAAGTCATCCTCCCCCGCCCCTCCTGTGGTGGCAGTGGTTGAGATACTTGTCAGTGTAGTTGTGATAAAAATATTCAGTTTGGATCACCTGATTTAAGATCAGGTGATCCAAACTGAATATTTTTATCACATAAACAAAGTAACAAAATGAACCATGCAGTATCATGTTTTACATTTTAGTGGAAAAACTTAGTAAGAATGAGATGTGTGCAGACTTTGAGAGTTGACAAGAAAACTATTTACTCTGGCTAAGGGCGTGAATTTTGAGAAATTCCTGGAAAATAATTATATATGACAGCCAATATTAATAAATAACTGTGGCTTGCAAGCAAATCAGAAAACACCACACCCTCCCCAGTAGGTCGAACAGCAAATTAAAATAAGCGGTTTACTTCAGCTACCTCTGATCAGTTTTGTCATCTCCAGAGAGTTTATTGTTCATGATGTCCTTAGCCTAAAAGAACCTACATACATATTATAGTTTCAGGACAACGGGAGCCTTATTACTGGTCTTACCTATTCTTATGATGAATGATGCAAAGTGTAACTGAGTGTGAGAGAATATGTGCAAGAGAAGAAATTGTTAGCATAGAACTTATGGTTATATCTAGCCATTTCAACTATACAACGATGAGACCTTGTTGCCAATCTAGTACTGCATTTAAATTCAGAACAATGAAAACTCATCAGAATAATTACTATGAAAATATTTATAGAAAAGGTGCAGGGAAGGTACATTACAACATTGGGAAAAGGACTGAAGCTGAGGTGCCAGGTCAGGATGGATAAAATTTCAGATTCTTCCTTGTATTTTATCTAGAATCTATAAATACATAGCAGAAGCACCAGACTTTATGCAGCAGCAATATTCAATGTATTAACTAATGTAGACTTATAAAAGAGCTAAATAGATTCTGACAAAAAAAAAAAACCATCTAGCACAACACAGTGAATCCACTTTCCTAGCAATTGATTCAATATAATCTTTCCACTTCATGTCAGTGGAAAATGTTAGCACAAGTAGATGCAATGAGTCACTCTCCTGGAGATTAGCACCAGCTATGCTAATGGAAGACAAAAAAGGTTCTCTAAGATAATTAAAAGAGTGCAGTTTTGTTTTGGAGGCATTAAAATTAACAAGCCATTTCCTTCTCCAGTTAACAGATTTTAGGTAATATTTTAAATCAACTGCCAATTTGACCTTTGTTATATCCCAGGTTGTTAGGATGCACAAAAATGAATATAAAATAAAAGACAAGTTTATTTTAGCACATAATAAAATAACTTTTATTCATTTACTGCCTGAGAGCAACAAGAATTGGTTTGGATTTTAAACCACGAGTTCTACATGTATGTCAGCTTATCACCATGTTGAATTCAGAAGTGCCACAGTCCAACTATTGGACAAGTGACATAATTCAATTGTATTTTGAGTTGTCATCCTTTACAGAGGGAAGTAAGTAAGCACCCCCAACAAGCTTATCAAGCTGATCAAACATACTACTAAAGTAGAAGTAAATAGTTGTGAAATTGGTATAGATAATGAGTTGAGAAATGATGACATCAGGAAGGACATTGATGAAAATTAAGAACTACATAGGTCCAAGGATAGAGCACTGGGAGACATATCCATTAATGCAAAAAATATCTAAAAGAATGATTATTCAAAACAACTTTCATTTAGAAATTTGATAAGAAAGATTGAATCAGTTCAAAAATTTGTTCAGAAATATCATAACCTTTCAACTTATGAAGATGACCAGCATGTCAAACCCAGTCAGAGTTATCTGAGCTTCACCTTTCTTATTCATTTAGAGCTTGATAGATTCTTTCAGTAATAACTGTTAATGCATCAGCAGTTGACTTAGAGAAGTGAAAGTCATATGTTTATTTTAAAGAAGAGCCTGTGAGGTGAGATATTTTAAACAATTCAGAGTTGATTAAAGCCTCTAGTTGTTTGCCAGTTCTCAAGAACAAAGAAAATGTATAAATTCACTTTCTTCATATGTTTAGATTTTATTCCAATTCTAATCATCACTTTTTAAAACAATAAACCTTTCCAAAGAGTGAAGGTAGTTAAAAAAAAATGGTGTCATGAGAAAAACTGTCCAGAGGCAACATTTATGGCTGATGTGAACCCACCACAGTATTGGAAACTGTAAGTTCTTAGTAAACAATGATCTTATAACTGCATACTGGCAGATGTTCTTGTAGTAAAAAAATAAAATAATAAAAATCATTGAAGTACTGTTGTATTGTTACCCTTTTCTAGAATGTTAATGATTTAGGTACCATTGTACTGAAATTGTATTATGTGTGTGAATAATTGATTATATTGCAGATCCACCAAAGAATGTTTTAACAATCTGGAAGAATGTACTTTTTGCATTGTCCTCAAATGGACTCTCAGAATATACTGTGCTGTTTTGGAATTCATTTTTTACCAGGGTACTTTTTGAGTTATTCCTCATTGCTTGTCAGTTTTAATATAAACAGTTCTAGGGATAGTTTAGGTCATTGTAATACTTATAGGACATTATCTCCCCTTATTGGAACTCTTTACTGATGTCACTCCAAAAATAGAAATGAGATTTCAGCCTCTTTTTCATCATGGACAGTGGTTACGTCAGACGTGTAAAACCAGCTAGTAAAAGCATGAAGCAAACACTACGTGTATTCTCCTAATTCCTGATTTCAGCCTTGTCTCAATATATTTAGTTATAGTTAACAATTTTCAAGTTCCTGAGTTGAGAAATAGTCACAAGCTAACTGGAGAATTTCATAGCAAACAAAAAGATACCTGATAAAATTCAGTGATGCAATTATCTAGATTCAACATTTAAGCTTTCCTAACAATACTTAACTGAAGCATAAATTCTTACCGTCCCTTAATATAACAAACATCTTCACATAATCACAGACATAGTGAAAGAATTAACTTAACACTAATAGCAACAGTGTATGTTATCTGAAACAAATCTTAGTACAAAATACCATTCATATCAACAAAATTGGTTCCTTTGTGAATTAGAAACAGTCATCTTTACTTGCTGTTACATTTTAATCAGGAAATAATTGATAGAGATCATCAAATGCTAGTTTTAATATTCATTTCTTGTGTATAAGACTATAACTGTGTCAAGATAAATGTCCTTCTTGCCCAATCCTATTTGTGGTCAGCAGATTCTATGAAACTGGAACACAAAGGGAAAGAAAAAACTGGACCAATATTGTAGCAGATTATACTACTTCCACGTTCAGCTCTTCATTCTTCATTGATCCCTTTCAATAAATATTCTCTCCTAACATTCAAAATGTGCCAGGGTCAGAAAATGTTGACAATAAGAGTGAGGATTTCAACAGGGCAGGGTTAAAGTTACTTTAACCCTGCCCTGCTGAAAATTTGGGTCCACTTACTGACCATCATTGTCAACAGACAGATGGAACTGAAAAAAGCTCTGTTCAAGTAAAGCAGTGGAGAGATATCTACCAGCCTTGTTGTAGTCAGCTGATTCTGATAAATTACCTGATCAACCTGATTATATTTGGTGCAGCAAACCAACCAGTTGTAATTTAGTGCCCATGACTGGGAGTGGACCACACCCCTCAGTGACCAGTTATGTATGATGCATTGTCACCAGAATAAGACCCCCTTTAAGTTAAACCAGAACACAACCAAGAACATCAGGAAAATGCCCCCAGTCAACCTGTTACAATAAGCCTTGTGCTAAACTTCACCAAGTAAGCAAAGTGTCACGTCTAACTTAAGAAGTGGGTTGGGTTGATAAACATATGCATGCTAGCTAGATTTTTGACAAAAAGGACCATATGTAAAAATAATACTTATTTTTTTATTCAAGCATTTATTTTATTTCTAGTGTCTTCATTCAACTTTGGACCAGCCCAATATGAAGATATCTGACAATGATTTGATCCTAGCTGACCTTATAACCAAAACAAATCACAATGTGGGATAAGGCAAGGCTGGGATTGAAGTAATCACCTTATTGATCAGCCGTGGGTATTGGACACTTGGACGACCAAGGAGGGACTTGAGGGTGACACATAGCTATTTTTTTAAAATTTCAGATCTGAAACATTTACTGCTCAAAAAAGCAACTGTTCAAAATTATTTTCCATTAGAAAGCTTGGTTTCACCTTGCTAGTCAGTCAAATGCCTAATCAAAAATGTCCACAGAACAGAAAGGATACAGAAGAAGATAGTTTTCTCAACTTAAGAATTCATTTAACTTAAAGAATCCCTTTACATATTGCCGGTTTGTAAAACATGGCTATTCACCAATCATCTCATATTCGAAATGTATATTATGTGCAAACCCAGTTGTTCAAAATTATTTCTTGCCAGATAGTTTAACCTCTTTTCCAATTGGTCAGTCAATATGACCTCCAATCAAATAAATAAATCAAATACCTAATCAAAACACCTGTGAAATAAGTCATGTAACTGATGAGACTAGAGAAATAAATGACCTTTGAAATTTTGAGCACACAAAAATAAAAAAAATATCTTATTCAACTTTTTATCACATTGATACAAATCTACAAAAATACTTACTTGATAAAAAAGGTGGCAATTTTTTGATCATCTTCAAAAACAACAGTGTCATCATAACCAGCCCCATAACCTAAACAAGAAACAAACAAAATGATGTAAAAACATATTTGAGAATGAAACAAAGTTACTTATAAAAAGGAAAAAGTCTTTAATAAATCTGATTTCAGATCCAGAAAAAAATTCAGTCAATTACTTTTGAATAGAATAGGTTAGAATAAAAAAATAGTTGAAAAATTCATTCAAAACTAATTTGTTTTCCGCACAAAATAAGAGGAAGAGGAAATTGAAATAAAGAGACACTTAGGAAAAAGGGAAAAATAAAACAAAAGATGGGGGTATGACAGTAGAATAATAGGTGTCGGTTGGAAAAAAATTAAAACTTTAAATATTCATTATTTACATGCAGTCTTCATCTTTGTTGTTGTTATCATAACATTTTGACTATTGGGCCCTCCAGCCATCATCAAATATTCAACCTGGTCAGTCTATTCTGGATCCGGAAGTATGTTTATTTTAAGTAAGTTTCTTAAAAATTTCCTCTAATACATTTTTAAACTAAAAGGAAATTTACTTTAATCAAATTTCAATAGGTAAATCTTTGTGTAAATGTTATGATGTTGATTTGGGGTTAGTAGAGACAAACGCCCAATAACATGTAACAATAAAAAGGGTTTTAATAGGTTGGTAAAAAGGTACAGAAATCGCCTGAGTAGTCAATAACTAGCTCGGCTAAGAACTTCTCTGTCTATTTGTCTTCCCCATGTCAACTGACATGCCACTATTTAAAGTCTTTGTTCACAGACGCAGACAAGTTCATCTTCAAGGGGTGGTAGGTTTCCGACACAACAGTAAAGAAGCTAGTCTGAAAAACTTTGAACTGATTAGTCAGTTCATACATTCAAACTTAAGCTAAAGATTCAGTTCTAATCAAGACATTATGCAGTTGGATTTAAAATGATTGCACAGTTAAAAAAATGAAAAAGATTTTTTGCAAATTAACACATAACAGAAAAACAGTAACTTTAAAAAATTATGCAATTAAAAACAAGTACCATATGTCAAATAAGATATGCTTGTTCTCCCCTCATTCCCACTTTTTGGCCCTTTAAATGATTTTCTGACATCCCTACATTTTTATTAAGGCTGCCCTCATTTACTGCATACTGAGAAAAATTCTGACCTTCTAACCAAGTGTTTCTCAACCATTTTTACTTCAGGCATACTTGTAGAGTAACTAAAACTCTGGAGCACACTTTAAATTTTAATAAGGAAAAATTAGTCATGAAATTTGAAAATATAAATTTTTGGTTTAGCATTCCCAAAGAAGATTAGAAGTACAATTGTTATTGAAGGGGATTTATGAGGAATCTGCTTGTTTTTTTTTTTTGTTTTTTTTTTTAAAAGAGGCCGATAATGACCGATTTAAATCCCTTGAGAAAGGCAAAAGGGAAAAGATTATCCACTCCTTAAAGATTAAGGAATTTAGCATCTAGTTTAAAATATCAAATGATAAAGATTTGACTGAGACATAGAAGCCATATGCTTGATGTATGTAGCTTTTTAAAAATAGATTTTTTTTAAATATAAAAATAATTCATAAGTTACTTTTCTGTTAACTTGGGGTGCACCTGGCTACCTTTCAGAGTGCATTAGTACCCCCAGGGGCACCAGTTGAGAAATGCTGCTCTAACTGTTTAAGATCCCCCCATATACTTTGTATATACAAATGTATATACTTTAGTTCAATAGTAAAAGTAAAAGCTGACCCACTAGAAAGAGATTAACTGACATAAGTTATCTCCTGGCAAAGAGTGAAATGAGAATTTACTTCTGTAGACTGAATATATGTTTGGTTTTAAATTCATGAAAATTTACTAAATATAGTAAATATGCCAAATGTTTCCTTAAGGAAACATTTGGCATTCATTGACTGAAAAGCCAGTGGTGCTTTTGGTTGAAATTTATAAAATCTTACTCTTTAAACAATTTTTCAGGAAAACAAATTTCTCAAGTACACTTTCTAGTATTGGTGGGGGTTTCCTTCCTAACATTTGATTTGAAGTAGTGTGGAAAATTAACATTTTTATTATGTCATTATTTTCTCATTGAATTACATATTCTATCCATTTTAGTTTTTGCAACTGTTGAAGGTCCTCAAGTGATAAGTTTTCTGTTATTTTGTACAGTTCTTTGTGATTCTGTAGCTCCAGTCCACAAGGTTCAAAAAAAGATGGTCTTCAATAAAACCTACAGGTTTCATTTGCTCAAAACCATTTTTAATCATTGATCTAAGAAAGCAGTTGCAAACAGCTGATAGTTTATATATTTTTGAATGAGTTTGACACTATGCATGACATTCATATGAAAGTCTCAATCTGACGAGGTTACTTAAGAACATGACAAGTTTTAGGTTAATGTTTTGCTTCTGTAGCAACTTGTGGTGTTGGGTGAAACTACCTCCAGCACATTCTGTGTTTAATTTCCTTAGATTGGCAAGTAGAGAGATCAAATATATATTAATGTGATATTTTTTTAAACCAGTTTAATATTCTGAAAGATAAGATACAGGACCAGTTCATAACTTGTTTCTTTAGAAACACAGTAAACAATCCAAGCAAGTAATAAATAATAATACATCAGATGCAATTGTATCTGACCTGCATAACGGATACTTTTACCAAACATCATAGACCAAAAGAATGGCACACTCTTCAGTTCCTGCTCTTTTCCTAACATATTCAAGGCGGCATTATGGCCTGCAATTACAAGACACATAGAACAGAATAAATTTTATTAGATTAAAATTTAAAACAGTTTTAGACAAAAGCATTTAAGAAAACCAAGTCTTAACATTCCTAAAAAAGTGGGGGATGATAATCTAATTATTTTCAGTAGCAATTCAAAGATTTTATTACTTTAGTTTTTGAAGAAAGACACACACAATAGCATACCATGTTTGAAATGTCTTCTATAATTATTTATATCTCTACTTACCTTAATAGACTGCAATTAATTAAAAGAACAAAGGTTGTGGTATATATATATATATATATATATATATATATATATATATATATATATATATATATATATGTCACAAGTAACATAAGACAGCATCACAAATCAGTGCAAAATGTTTCACTCAGTATTTTGCTTTTGTTTCAATAAAGCATATGAAAAGGAACAAAACATTTTTATTATTTTTTTTTATTATATTAATAAGTTCATGGGAAAATTAAGTGTTTCCACATAGCAAACATTTAGTATTCATTGATTAGTGTTACTGTCAGTTGAAATTTGAAAAAAAATTTTATTAAAAACAGTTTTTTTTTTAGGAAATTATACTTGTCAAGTTTACAAAATGTTAAAATTCTTTTGAATATTGATGGGAGATTCCTCTCAAACATTTTGTTTTTAGTAGTTTAAAAAGTTAACAGCTTGATTATACCATTATTTTCTCTTCTATTTACATGTGCTATCCATTTTTGTTGTTGCTGCTTTTCAAGTGTCCAAGTGACATGTTTTTTGCTATTTGGAAAAATTTCTTCATTTGAGATTTTGTAGCACTAGTCTCTATGATTAATTCATTTGAAACCATTCTTAACAATTGTTATGAAAAAAACAGTAGTATACAGATGATAGTGTAAATATTTCTGAATGAGTTGCATCTCATGAATGACATCCATAGGATAGTCAAGATCTGAAAAGGTTATTTAAGAAAATGGCTAAAGTTTTCAGATCAATATTTTGGTATTATAGTATCTTGTGATGTTGGATAAAAGCACTCTAGTACAACTTATACTGGGTTCAAAAGTAATTTTAGTGATGAATACAGAGCTAAAATGGATTGACCTGATGGTTGGGCCTGTCATAAAAACAGTCAAGCAAAACAACTTAGATAACAGCAGAGAGAGGTAGATTTTTTTTTTTAATTATTTCACACCCAAGCAAGGCAATAAAGATACAAGGGGTTACTGAATGTGAAAGAATATAAGAAAAAGAAAACATTATTAGGGAGAGGGAACAATAAAAGAATAGAAATAAAGAAAACAAAAAGTAATGATTGATATTTTATTTAAATTTATGAAGATCAAAGTTGATTAGAAAGCAAAAGGTCAAAAGAGAGTTCCACAAGTATGAAGTGAGAGAAGAAACTGTTAGCATAGAACTTAGGGTTCCATCTAGCAATTTCAACTGTAAAATGATGAAATCTAGCTGCAAATCTAGTACTGCACTTACATTCATAAAGTCAAGGTAGCAAAGAGGAAAACTAATCAGAGCAATTACCATGAAAATATTTATATAAAAAGCTCAGGGAAGCTACATTATGGTTGTGGGAAAGTGAGTGAAGCTGAGATTCCAGGTCAGAACAGATAACATTGCAGATTCTAAATACATAGCAGAAGCATCAGACCACATGTGAAGAGCAATATTCAATACATAGACAAATGGTAGACTTACAAATATGTAAGATAGATTCTGGCAAGAAAAATTGTCTAGCACGGCAGGTGAACCAACTTACCTAGCAGCAGACCTAATAACTAATTCAATATAATCTTTCCACTTAATGTTTTCAGCCAGGGTGGCAGCTGAGAGAAATGACAATAGTCAGATAGCTAGCTATTAGATACAAAAATCTAAAGAGAGTCTTCATGTAACACAACACTTCTTCACACTTCACATTCTGCAAAACTGACAATTTGCAAAAAAAAAAAAATTTTTTAAAAAAATGAATTAATGGAATGGTCCCTCAGCCTTTCCAGATATTAATCCAATAGAAAATTTGTGCTCTATCACTAAAAGAGATGAACATGAGAATGGAAAATTGTTTCCCAGAGATTGCTTTCAATTGAAACAGCACAAAAGTTAATAAAATGTATGAATGAAAGTCTAATAAATGTTATAGAATATCAAAAAGCCCATATCATTATGTAAAATAATAATTTATTCAGATCAAGTGGTTACTGAATGTGAAACTGTGTTTCCATCAGGTTTGTTAATCCTCATCTTTGTGCAGCCATGACTGTAAATCAGTCCAACATTACTGGGGAATTCAACAAATATACCAGGAACTGAACAGCATCATGGAAGTGGTCGGATGGATGGCCACCCACCAGAATATCTGAAAACTGGGTATCTGAATACTGTGTCTAAGCAAGCATGGAGTGAATATCAGCATGAACTACAGGCATGGATAGACAACAGGTGGTTAATACCTTACCCCGAAAGAGAACTCAGTCCTCCAAGGGGCCTGATCCCATTAATGGCTGCAGTTCAAAAGAATAAAGGAAAGGTCTACCAGGTGACAGATTACCAAAAGCTAAATGAGCATGTTGATGCATACATGGAAAAAAATGTGCAAAAAAATTAAGAGAATGGCAGAGAAAAGGACCCAATGTTTCTGTGCTTGATCTTCACAAAGCATACCTACAGATACGCGTCCATTGATCACTGTGACCATTTCAAACCATCATTTATAAGGGGCAGAGGTACTGCATGACAAGAATGGGATATGGACTCAATGGCACCGGCTATTATGAAAGGGTGGGCAATGACCATCCATCCTAACAATCTTAGTTTTTATTGTTTGTTTTACAGAGTGTGCCCCCCCACACCCACACACAATTTAAGCTGTCATACAAGCTCAGGACTAAAACGAAGTCAGTCAGTTATGTACCATGCGTGATACACGCTTAGGCGATCATGTATATTTCGATACATGACTGACGAGGCAGATTTTTTCCCGCGGTAGGTTGACATTTCTTTCTGCAGTAGACCAGTTGCCCTCCAAGACTATAGAACACGGTCTGTCCTGCTATTTACTCATAGCTGGGGGAGAAGAGGAGGATTCATACCTTTCCCAAAGGTATTAACCCGTAAGTGAATACAATGGATTCGACTGGAATTCGAACTCGGCTCTCCGATTCCCCAGTCCGAGCATTGTGGATACTGTACTGACAAAAGATGAGTCTATTTTTCCAGACCATTTCAGCCATGTACCCTGCCTCAACATGATTATTAATGTTATTACCAGAGTACTCCAAGATGACCCTGTGCAAGACAAGTGGTGTGTCCACAGACATGATTTTGAAGTATGGACCAATACAAGCTCCTTTGCAACTAGAGTGTCCCTTGAGTTAAATGGGGATGTAGTAGAGGATGTATGCTGATTGCATCCCAGAAAGGATGTCCAGCATATAAACATAGCTGAGTTGGATGCTGTACTTAGGGGTGTTGACATAGCACTTCAATGGAAGGCAAAAAAAGTTGCACTTATTCACAGATTCTGCATGTGTTCGTGGATGGATATCTGACACTCTCACTGGAAAGGCCAGAATACACACAAAGGCCTCAAATGAGATGCTCATTCAGAGAAGGCTCAGTACCTTGGAAAATTTGGTCAGTGAATATGACTTATCGGGGGACATAAAGCTAGTGAAATCTAACCAGAACTAAGCAGACAAGCTGATGAGGGTACCATGGAGATGGCTCGACAGTGAGGAAAGAGACAGAAATGGTGAAACTTTTCTGTGCAGTACCAGTGAGAAAATGCAGCTTGGACAAGATAAGTTTGGTATACTTTCAAAGTGGGCATCCAGGCATTAAAATAAGCCTGTAATTCACAAGGTAGATTGATCCAGCAGTGTCCAAGGCAGCAGTTAGTAACCCCCCTACCCCCACCCCTCATAATCAATGTACAACCCAATATCAAGTTGAATGTGTTACAGGGATTAGAAGCCTGCACATGATGCCATGGAATGTGAGGGATCTATACCCCTTTGTCAGTTCAAACACAACAAGTGATGTTGACAGCAAATCCTCCAATGATGAGGGACTGACCAATATAAGAGATGCCTTGAGTATGTCCTTGGAAGAAAACTAGGCTCAGCCTATACATCTGATGTCCCTTCATCAGGTGAGGAGACGGTAGTTGTTCCTTTGAGAAGAAGTACAAGGCTTAAGAGACCTGCCTGCCCCTGCCTGTCACTAGTGCGATCATGAGATCAGTGGGGTGTGTGGCGAAAGAGAAAGTCGCTTACCGAGAAAAAGGGCATGTCTGTTCTGTACGATATGCCAAAGACAAAATAACCAAAATAGAAACAAGTCAATTGCAGCTGTGGCCATAAATGCATCTCAGATATGCTAATATTGTGCATGGTCTCCCACCTATTGACCAATGAAAAAATTGTTCCATCGTTAAAAGTAGTTGGTGTTCTCAAATTGGGAAGTTGTTTATTTTTCTACCTTATCCATTATCTGAGTTTATGAGTATTGGGATTTGTGATATTGGACCTGCAATTCATGATTTCAACATTTCTTTCTCCCTCTGGATCTTCGAGTTTGGACTTGCGATTTGTTTATTTCATTGTGGAATTGAGCTGCCATATCATTTTTGAACAATATGTGATAGTCTGTTAATCAAATGTGTTTCTCTGGTTAAATCTCTTAGATTTAGTAATATATAAAAAATATTATATTATTATTTTATTTGTTTGCATAATAAAACCTGACACCTCCAAAAATATTTTTAATAATAGATATTAAAAGTTGAAATTCATTTGATTTCTCATATGAATATAATAGACTATTCCAAAAAACGTATCAACATCATTTGCTTAATACCAATTTTACTATAAAAATATTGATAGTATAATAACATCTTGTAGTATATATCATACATCATATGGGCATGAAATTGGCATTTAAAATTAGTGTGGTGTGCCATATTAAATTTTCCCATCATGCAAATTAGTGTTTCAAATTAAGGCAGGAATTAATGAGAAAAAAATGATTTAAAAGTTAAATCTATTTCAGTTAGCATATTATACATAAAAGGTATGTATTACTAGTGTCTCTATTCTTTTTGCAACCCACCTTCAGTAGATAAAGGTGTTGTTCTGTCCCAGTTTCAACAAATGACACACAAAACTCCCCCACCATACCTCTCTGTACAGCCTTCAGCATATAACTTTTTTTTTCCTTTTTTTTTTTTAACACTTCTGTGGGGACCATATTGCTATTCTTCTGGATTCGTTTCCTCTTACCAAATTTAAAACATATGACCCAATTATACTTGAATTTTAATTACTTAATTTTTAATACTCAAAGAATTTTGTCAGATTAAAAAATATTTACAAACTGTTATAAACAGAACAGAAAATGGTGTAATCTAGTTTTTCAATAGAACAAACTTATTTTGAATCTCTTTCTTTCACTCAATACAAGGTCCAAGAGCCATCCAAAGTAGAGGGTTACTGAATAAGATTGTTGTAAAGATATAAAGGGATGAAGTAAGAAATGCATAGTATGAGGATATGTAGGATAGATAATAGATGAACTAAGATTTGAAGAGATTAAGATTGTAGGGATCAAGGAAGCATCCTCTTTGGAGTTTGTTCCCCAAAGTAAAAGTTCTGAAGGAAGAAGCTAACTGAGAACAAACTTCCTCCTTACCAATGGAATATGAAGAGAAACAGAATGAATCAACCCTATGTATGTGGCATGGTGGGTCCAAATTGTGAAGGTTTGAACTGGTAGGACTAAGGAATGAAGATCATCTAAACATTTACCATGGAAATAGCACTAGAATGTTTTGCCAGCAGGAAAGGAACTGTAGGTTGGGAAACAAGGCCATATAAATACTTTTGGGAGCAATATTCCATTTTAAGTCTGATCTGTCTACACTTATCAAAAAAAAAAAAAAAAATCACTGATATGTAATTTACCCATATGAAGGTTACATAATTTACTCATACAATAAACTTACAAAAGTAACACTCACCTTGGGCATGAGCCATTTGATAATGTTGCACATTTACAACAGAATCATTCTTGATGAACAGAGGAAATTCTGTTATATCCCCAGCAGCATAGACTCTTTCCTTGTTAGTTCGCATATGCTATATAAATTATAAGTAAACAAAAAAAATATTAAATTAAAAAATATGATAGAAACATTGACAATATTTGGAAACATACAATATATACTAGCCATTATTCAGAAAGGCAATTTGGACAATTTGCATAGGTGCATTAATAACATCTGGGTCAGTGATAGCTGAGCATTTATTAAAACAATTATCAATGTGCCAGGTCCTATAACCAAGATATGTTCACAATACTGAGGAAAAGTCCCTCTGATTTTCACCTCAAGTTTTTAGAGTCAATTTATATTAAGTCCTTCAAGCCATTCCTAAAAAGGAGGAGTGGTTCTTTTGTTTAAGTATAACTAGCATTTAAATAGCAGGAGAAAAAGTAAGCACAAAAAATATCAAAAACTCAATCAAGTTTTTGATCAGAGAGGAGTGAAACTGGTCAACTCCCACAAATTTTTTGTGCTGTTTAACTTAATATTTTAATGTTCATTTTCATATCATAATTATTAAATTCTGTACTGTTAACAAAAATTAAGACTGTATTTCAGTTTTGAAAGCCTCTCTTAGATTAGTCACACACTCTATGACTTGTGTCTGACAATCTGGATATTTAAGTGTTATATGGTGAGAATCAGTTTTTATTGATGAAGCAGCTGATTTGTACTATACACATACCTTATCTACAGTTATAAATCCTTGAGAATTCATTTGTACACCTGCATCTTTCAGGAAAGTTGTTGCAGGAGTCACACCTATCAAAAAGAGAGCAGTTTTAATGATGACAAATGAATGATAAAGTGGAGAAAATTCTGTGTAATGTGTTTTGTCCTCTAGAAGGACTTAATTGGACTAATGTTATTGTTGATGGAATTATGTGTCGTAGGGGAGGATATAGAAATGCAAGTGTCAGTTATAATTATGCACTGATAGGAAGCACTGAAGATGTACATAAGGTTATTAAAAAAATGGCACCGAGTAAACAATGGGTGAAAAATAAAGAGTAAATTTAAATAGATTTCATCATCTGATGATTACATAAAAAACAAGTAGAAAATCTTTATAAATCTGTCATATTTTGATATTTATTCAGTGTCATCAAAAATTTGAGGAAGGGAATGCTTCAGAGTTATATTTCAGTTTTTAAATTCTGTATTGCTTTGTTTTCATTGGCTATGTGATACATCAAGTATATATCTAATGACATCTGTTTGCTTAATTTTTGAAATGTTAACTTTGTTTATTAAGATATTTAATAATCAAAAATTAAGAGGAAACAATACATTCATAAACTTAAGTGCAAATTTCTCCAGAAGGATTTATCAACCATTCATGTTGAGATTTTAATATTTTTTTGATTTCAACTTTGTTTTGATCTGGGTTTTTTTTTTCATCATTATTTTTGGGCACAAATGCTTCCTTCCAAGTTGCTGGCAATTGATTTTTTTCCGAATAAAGAGAAAGTAAAGTTTCTAAATGTTTTATTCAAGAAAAGATCTTTCAAACAAAATATTTTTATTTTTCAAACATGTCTTTGATAAATTCTTTTTTACTTTTTTTAAAATAGATCTTATATTAAAATTTTTTTGTAATACAACAAATATTATCAAGGGAGTACATGGTAATAGCAGTGTGAAGAGAAAAGTGTCCTTTTGACAACCCATTTCTTTTTTGTCTGTTCCTAAGTTAATCTTTGCCTAAATTCTTATATCTTGTTGAAAACAAAATGTAATATTAGGGTATATCATTTGCAAAAAAAAAGTATTATCGTGTAACTCAACTAGTAGAACGGCCATTACAGAAAAGACAGGCTTTACAGGATAAAAGGGGTGTGAGAGTTTTGCCAAGAGATATTCCTTATTTCTAATCTCTGCTACTTACTAATGGACAGAATAATTGTGATGAAAAACAAGGTAAATTAAAGTGAAATACTAGTCAAAAATTAATAATGGTTGATAATGTTACATGTAATAATAAATTCAATATTACTTAGAAAAATCAGTAGCTAAATGAGCCTATTTTTCCCTATTTGTAAGTCCTGAACTCATACAGAATTCATTTTTGTAAATGATTCAAGTTGTGAGTTGCCTCATGGTTGAGATAGTTATGCATGTCTCATCAGTACCAGAAGTCAGAGTTCAAGCCCTGTAAAAGCTAAGATTTCAAATGACAATTTTTTTAGACTTTACTGACTGATACAATAGTTTCCCTACCCTCATTTCCTCATTATCTGGTCTTGTATTGTAACAATCCTTTCCATATTTTTTGGCCAGTCAGATATGTACATTTGCTTACAGCAGAAACTAATAATACGAATTTGCCATAGAGAGGTATATGCTATTGAATCAGTTTGAATAACAGGGTCATGCTTTGAAATTAACAATTTATTTTAAAATCTTTCATCAATAGATATTTGAATTTTGATACGATGATAAACAAGCACTGATTTATGAATGTCTTACAGGACATTCTTGACTTGTGAAAACTTTAGCATGGTAAGAATTAGATGAATTTAGTTTCATTGAGGATTGATTTGACAACTAAATCCAGATGCCCATAAGTAAAAAATGCATCTGGCATATCACCTGAGCAAAATCCAATTAGTATTATATATATATATATATATATATATATATATATATATATATATATATATATATATATATATATATATATATAAAACGATATATAATTTTTTTTTTATTTATCAGAACAAATTTAGGGAAATCTATGAGTTTTTTCTACTTTGTTATAGATAATCTACTTTTGTAGATAGCTTACAAGTTGAATTTAATTTACTTTATTTTAAAACTGGCAAAATTTAGAAATATGCTTAATCTGGAAAAGGCAGAGCAATGCTTAGTAACTAAGATTAAAGAAATGGCCTTTTTAGTTGAGTGATAGCAATATTTAAGCTATTTCATAAAATTTTTATCATTTTGCATTTATTTTTTTTATTCAATTTTGCAGAGTTACTTATAAATGGAAAAAAAACTGATTTAAAATCTTAAACTTACCAATTCCAACAACACAAATATCAGCTGGTAAAGAAGTGCCATTATTTAGCACCACAGTAGTCAAATTTCCATCAGATCCTAGAAGTTCAGTTGCATGGCAATTGTAATAGAAATTAACTCCTTTCTCTTTGTACAGCTATAGAAAAAAAAACAGTACAAATCAGAAAATTTTAAGTGTTGAAAAACAACAGTAACTGGTTTTAAATTTTAGTTTTTTCTACTTTAAGAAATTATGACATGCACATCATATTTTTTATTATTTGATTCTTAAAGCACTATAAATTGATATTGTATTTTAGATCATTCAAAATTATAATTATTGAAAGAAGTTAGCATTTGATATAATTTAATAGAAAAGGGAAATGTGATTAACCCTTTGCTGACTGAATATATTCCTAAACTAATTTGGCAATCTTGAACTGTCATGCCTGCAAAAAACAGTGTCAAAAAGCAGTGTTAATAAAAAAACTGTCCATTATTTTAACTACCTCCAACTTTAAACTTAAAGTAAATATGTTTCAAATCAGATTAATTATACCTTTAATCAATATAGTTTCAGAAAAGTATATTTTATTTTTGGAAGTATTTTAAATAATGATAATTACATTCTGATGACAGGTGGCTAAAAATGATGCTAAAATCAGCAATTTCAAAACAAAAACACCTTCTAATCAATTTAAATTAGTTTTGAAATACAGCAAATTATTTTGCATATTAGAAATATTAAATATAATCTATTAGCTTGAAATTAAAATAAAAAATTCAAGAAAGATTTTTCATTCTTAAAAATTCATTTTAAACCTTAGATATTGTGAATCTGTGGCAGTACCTAATTAAAACTAATGCAATTCAATATTTATCATTTACCAATTTATAAAGAAATAAATATGAAAAGAACTTTTTTTATTTATAAACATTTACGAAATTATTAAATATGTGAACTAACTATAAGGAAATCCTTATTATTTACCATTTTTTAAAGTTTGAATCAAATGGTAATTAACTGATATTTTGCCAACCATTCCAATAAACAATTTAATAAATAGTATTTATTATTTTTGTTGACAACTCTCAAGAACAAAGAAAATGTATAAATTCATTTTCATATGATTAGATTTAATTAAAGATGAGACTGAGACAAGATGAAACAAAGACAATACAGAAACATACCTCCATTATTCTTTCAGCTATTTGGGTTCCAAAAACGTTTTTGAATGGTAAATCACTTCTACAAACCACATTCACTGAACTTGCTTTACCAATAACAGCAGCAGCTACTTCCATTCCTTTGATGCAATAAAAAAAATATTTCATTCATAATTTTTATGTTAGAAATATATTATTTTATGTTCTTTTTTTGGTTTTTTTTTTACAGTGGTATTCACCCTGTACAAGGCGTGAGGGCCACTCAAGGTAGAGGGTTACAGAGTAAGAGGCACAGCTTATGTGGATATGTGTGAAAAATAAGTTAACTTTTGGCTTGAACAGGTTAAGATTGTAGTGATTGTGGAAGCAACTTCTTTGGAATCAGTTCCACAAGGTAATGGTTTGTGGGAAGAAGTTGCTCAAGTGGAACTTACATCCTACCAGGGGAGTATGAAGTGAATGAGGGTAGTTCGCTACAATGTGCATGGCATGGCGGGTCTTAGCCGTGAAGGTTATGACTGGTGGAAGCAAGAAGTATAGTTCATTTGAACACTCTTCATGGAAATAGTGATAGAGCAGCGAGAGGTTTGTGATGTCTCATTTGTGAGAAAAGGGTTGCACAGTGGAAAATAATTTGTCACCTACAAGGACATGAAGATGCTTTTGGACTCTAATGCAAAAATGTTCAACATTCATTTGACAATATTTTTTATTTATATAAATTCATTGCATCATTATTCCATAATCAAAGTATATGATTTCCTATGACATTTTACCAATTTTCAGTTAAGCTGTATATTCTATCATGAAAAGAACAATTCTGGTTTTGAGTCAAGGATTTTTTTTTTACCATTTTGATCCTTTTGGAACCACAAACCAGACAAGAAGTGTTAGATGTGCAATATTATTTGTTGTACAGGATAATGAAAAGATGAGTGTTAATCTCTCATACATAACATTATGGATTATTTTCTCTGAACGTGGACTCTACATTCTCACAAGGATGTATGAGATAGGCTCTCTAGGGTGGGTGTTTATCTGTCATATGGTTCTTTTCCAAGCATACACATCTCAGCAGGGTTAAATATTTATACACCTGTTGGGATAGTCACTGACAAGTGTGGATCTCAATCTCTGGTTAGGAGGAGCTCAACCTTGCAACTAGCTTCTCTGAAGGACACTAAATGCAAAGTCTATTCTAGCATGATCTTAGGTGAGCTCAGTACATACCTGTGGAACAAAAGTTATTTGCTCCTCAAAAATATCCCATACTAGTGGTCTTGTACTAGACAAAGTTAAGCTTTATAAATACCTATAAATCATAAAAACACACAATTGGCTTTATTACCAAAGTTTATTAAAAAACTTTTCTGTTTATTAAGGTGATGCAAAAGTTACCTGCAGAATTTTTTTTATACTTGTATTTTTTTATATTTTCACCAGGCTTCCTATGAAATTTTATCACTCTTCAAATAAATTGTATATTCCATCATAAAGGAATGATATTTTTTACTATGTTATTTGATAAATTATTTAAGAAATTTTTAATATTTTGAATTTTTTGGTTTATTTGACCAATTTTTTTTTTTTTATAGCTTATCAACACTTTGTAGATTATTTAAAGTCAAAACATATTTTAGATCATAAGTATAATTTTTTTTTGTGAGTGAATATTGTATTAACATGTTTGAGAAAAACAGTGTTTTTTTTTTCTAGATACAAGTTCTACTATTTACCCATAGCTGGGGGAGAAGAGATGGAATCATACCTTACCCAAGATTATTTACGCAAAAGTGAATGTAACGAACCTGACAGAAATTCAAACTCAGCTCTGTGAGTTCTCATTCTGAGCTGCTATCAATTACCCCTACCTGCACATCCACTTGAATTGTTAGAAGTGTGGACAAGACAAAGTGTTGTATAAACTAAAACAAGTAACAGTCCAAGCATGACAGGATTATAGAATATAAGTAATTCTCTCATTCTAGTTTCATGATTAATCAGTACAATATTGCACTTCTCGCTTGTGGGACTTTCAGCTTCTTGCTTCCTAATCAACTTTGATCTTCAAAAATTTAAATGCAATGTCAACCATTATTTTCTGTCTTCTTAATTCCTGTTCTTTTATTGTTCTCTCTATTTAATGTTTTCTTTTTCTCATATTCTCTCACACTCAGTAACCTCTTGCATCTTAGTAGCTTTATTGCTTTGCTTGGGTGAAATGTTAAAAAAATTTAAAAAAAAACAATGCATTTATTTGAGGAAAGGCATTGTCATCTGTACATATATATTTCTAAAAAAAAAAAAAATTTCAAAAATAATTTCATTCATTTGCAAATAAGTCCTGAAAATTTAATTAAAATCTGAAAATTATTTGATTTTTACAAGAATTTCTTAAACAATATGTTCTTAATATAAAAAACAAACAAAAAAAAAAAAAAAAAAAAAACACTAAAATTTCCTAAACTAATTTTTGGCCCACCCACTGACAAAAGATAAAAAAAGATTTTTAACCAAAATTTTGAACATGCTAGAAGGGATTATTTTTTATAATAAAACTGTTTTTATCAAGTTTTTTCATGATAGTATGCTCTTTTTAGAAACTTTTGCAGGTACCTAGTTTTAATGTTATTTAAGTCTCATTGTTCAGAACAAAGTAGACATTACATAAAAGATATATGGTCACTTCACCATCATTCTTTTTCTTTTTTCCTTACCAATAAATGAGCTTCCAATGATGACCACATTTTTGTCATCACTTGCTTTATCAATGAAATTCGCATCATCAGGAGTCCGGAGATAACAAATATTTTTTAAGTCACTTCCTGGTAGTTCAAGCTCTCTTGGGCTAAAATAGAAAAATTTAAATTTCAAAGACACAGAATTCCACCTTACTTTTGCAAAATGTTGCCTAAATTACAAATTTTATTTTCTCCCTAACTTTTGTATTGAAAACCAGATTTAACTTACATAAGAATTTTTCCTTGCAAACTTGGAGACATTTATTTTTAAAAAAAAAAAAAGAAAAAAAAAAAGAATCAATTTCTTTATTTCATTTATTTATCTTTCTGTAGTAGTGATGGAGTTAATAAAAAAATTTTCCATAAAATATTAACTTGACAATAATTCTCAGAACTGATGATTAGTCAATTCAGTCAAGAATACACAAAATTTTCAAACACATAACCAGTTTCCAATTGCATATTAAGTTTAGTTTTCAAATAAAAAGTGCTGGGAACTTTTACACACACCCAATATAATAAATGCTACACAAATCATTTCACAATGCCTAATATTCCAGGAGTTCAAGAATTGTCAAATTTTGAAAGAAGGAAAGAGCTAATATCAAATACTGAAATTGAGAATTCTGTTATGACTTACATGATCGTATTACCTACTAATAAAAGGAATCTACTGCATCTCGTTTAGGTCAACCAATGCCAACAGAAAAGTATCTTCATGTGACAAGATGAGAAATTGAAAAAACACTTTCAATTTGGTTGGTATATCCAAATCAATCGAAGAACAGCAATATAGGATCTCCAGTAAATTTTTTTTTTTTTACTAATGTTCACCCATGTGAAAAACTTGGTTGGATGCACACACAGGGAAAGAAAGGGGAGAGGTAGTAATAAGTTCACTCGGCAAAACAAATCCACACTTTTCTCCTAGTCTCGATCTCCAATATGCCACTCCCCATCAGAAGTGAAAAGCAAACTACCGTTGAAGGAGTATACCATGCTTTTATGCACCTGACCCAGACAGCACTCAGCCAATGAGCACCCAGAATCAGCCAATAAAAATAGCTATAAGCAACACCACCACTTCCATCAACACAAAGTGTTGCCCGATTCACAGTCTGTCTGAAGCTCACCAATTCGCCATCTCCACACTCCCTTGCAAAGCATATATATGACTCTGGCCCTTTTGGGTTGCCAAGGTAAGTCACCACTACAACCCAATACAATGCCCATGAATAAAAGGTTACTGAATGACATTGCATGAGCATTAGAGGAGGCAAGAAGAGCAGTTGAGGAAAGATAATGGTTAACACTAGACCTAAAGAAGTCAAGATTGTAGTAACTGGGAAAACATCCTCTCGGGAGTCCGTTCCACAAAGCAGCAGTTGTTTGGGAAGAAGCTGTCCATGTGGAGTTCATTCTTAGTAATAGAATATGAAGTAAATGACAATGATTCATCCCTGTGTATGTAGCACAGTGGGTCAGCTGCAAAGAGCAGAACTGGTGGAATAACTAAGGAATGTGGCTTGTTAAAACATTTGCCATGGAAATAGCAAGAGGTTTGTGACATTTTGTCTGTGGGAAAGGGGTTGTACAGTGGAAAATAATTCATCACTCACAAGGCTTTTGAACTAACAAGACAAGCAAGTGAAAACTGGGCAGCTCCAGCCCAGATGTGGTATCAATAGTTTTGATCTGATCTGGTTCTTGTAAAGATAGATCAGAGTACAAGGTGTCAGATACTTACTAGAGAAACACCAGGAAATGACTATTTTCCGAGCATCTTTAGCAATGGATTGTATTGCTTGAAGTCTGGAGTGAACTTGTGTCCCAATAGGGATTTAAGGTAAGGGGCCAACTTGAGAAAATAGCCATCCATCATAAGTGAAAGTTCAGGATCTGCCAGGTTCTGATCATCCAGATCTTTGGAGGTACACCTATAAACTGTTGTATCATCTGTATAGATATTTACTAAAGGTCGGAGTATGTTCTTATATAGATCATTAATGTAAAACAGAAAGAGGGTAGGTGTGAGAAAAGAACTTTGAGGAATGCCTACCTGTTAAGAAGGAGTTGATAATTGAGAAAACCCTTCTAGAGATTCTGTAACTGAAGAGTTTGAATAGCAAGCCCTGATGCCACATGTTGTCAATGGACTTTGATATATCCAAGATGATAGTCCTTGTGCTGAATTAATTGTTTAGTGCCCCAATGAGTCTGTCAGTAATGACAGCTGTGGATCTAATTGATTATGACCTCAAAGTGTTTGTTGATGGCACTAAGGAGGCTGATGGATCGATGTTGCGATATGTGGTCACCTTCATTCTTAAAAACAGGGTACACAGTTGATACCTTCCATAGACTGAGGAATCATTTCTCTTTCAGAGAGCAGTTAAATAGTTTTGCCAAGATTCAAAATAACTCTGGACTGATGTTCTTAAGAACAACTGGGATTTTATCCAGACCAGTAGCCTTCTTAGAGTCAAGTTTTTTGAAAAGTTTGGGAACTTCCTGGACTGTGATAGAGATATTACAAAGTTTGTCCTCCATGAGAAGGAGGAAATTAGGTAAGGGGTAGTCTTTATCTAATGTAGAACTAGAAGCAAAGTTCTCTGCAAAGAACCTTGCCTTGTCTAATGAGGATGAAATAACCTCATGGCCATTTATTTATTGGATGATATTTGCCTCTATTGAGAATTTTATTTGAGATTCTCCAGAACTCATAGGAACCAAGTCTTTTCTTTTCAACTTTGGCTTGGATTAACTGTGCATAACTTCTCTTTGTATTTTCTATAACTTTCTTTTAATGATTACAAGCTGTTTGAAATGCTACAAGAATCCTGCTACACCATCCTCTGTGTTAGAGATAGTAGTAGTAGTAGTAGTAGTAGTAGTAGTTATGGTGGGCTATGGCTGCAGCCCATACTAATAATACAGTAGCTGCTTAAGAAAACTACTTCTTAAACCAGTAAACTTTCAGCAGAGAAAAATAATGAGAAACGGAAATCATATGGCAATGACCAAGATAAGACATGTGTTTAAGCCAAGTACAACCATTTAAACATGGTTGTGGCTCAGTTATGGTGTGTATAGTAATTTTGAGCTATGCCATTTGCTGTGTTGCATATTTGATCCATGTGGAGATGCTTTATCAAAATAAGCAGCTGACTTTCTTGCCCAGAAAAGTCTTAAGATCCAATGTCATTCAAACAAGCCAATTGCTCACTCTGAATTTCACATCAACCTAATAATACTTTAGAATTTAATGAACATGTTCATGACTACATGCATATTTATGGGGGAGTGGTTGGATTTATATTCATAGTTACTTCTAGCTTTTGTTATTTAGTTACAGTAACTGTGAGTATTTGTAATATATTTCTAATCTATTCAGTATTAATACAGATATTTCTGTTTGGAATATGAATAAAAACATTTTTGTGAAGAGAAAAACCAACTTACTTTCCACCAGTTGCAATCATCAAAGCATTATATTCTATTATACTGCCATCTTTAAACTCAGCAGAATTTTTATCTGTATCAAGGCTGATCAACTACAAAATAAGAGGAAGTAATATTCAGTAATAATACATGTCAGTTCATACATCAATAAGTCTATAGCATAACGATTAAAAAAAATGTGTTTATTTTACATAATTATTTACTTTCAAATTTTCCTTGATAATACATGTCACAGGTAAATATTTATCATGGATCAAACAATATACAGTGAAAATTTCATATAAAAATTCAACTAATAACTACATGCAAGGCTAATGACTTATTGAGCCATCTTTTTACTTTATGTAGATAAATTTATTTATATAAAGCCACACAAATATCAACATCTTGCTGGATGCAAATGTTATGCAGTTGCTAACATTTTATTCAAGGATCCTTAAGATGAAAGCTCTGTAACATAAAAATCTTGGAAGAACATGAAAATCACTAAAAAAGTAAAATGATAAAATTCATTGAGAAAAAGAGTAAAGCTATGAGAATCCCAAACAATAAAGACCATTTTTAACCTGATAATTTGTGGCAGTGAACATTGGCATGATCTGTAAGTTGCTATAACACATAGCTACTATGAACTTTAGAATTCTTGATTAAAATCAAAGTCTCCTTTCTTTATCAATTTGAAATAACTTCAAGCCACACATTTAATACCTCACACCCAACCATCCAATATCATATAAATGGGTAATTTTATGTAGAAAATTTTGGTAGAGTCTGTAACACCAAAACATATCTTGAAGAAAGAATGAAAGACAAGATGAAGGCTTTGTAATTTTGAATATGATAATCCTCATTTTAATTATCCTTATGTTATGACACATAATAAAAGTCCAAACATAATTATAATGACTCATCCTAAAAATTTTCTATGTGCTGTGCCCCTTCAGGACTTTAACAATCATGGATCTCCACAACAACTTGTCCTTTGTAGCTCTTAATAAATTTTGTCTTTTTGTTTATTTCTCCTAAACCTTGTTCCTCCATCCATTTACCTAAGCTTGGTTGGTAGGTTATGCATTGTTTTCCTCTGTCACTCTTGCCTTCAATCTGTCCTGTGAATATCAAATTTTCCAACCTCTCTGTCCCCATTTTCTCTAAAACTCTCATTGCTCACACACACACACACACACACACACACTTACATCTTCAAAATCAAGTGGCACAGTTACACATTCTAAAAAGCAAATCAATCAACCAGGGTTTTTAGTGTCATGTGCTTCACTACTTATTTGTAAAGCTCCCAATATGTTTTGTTTTTTTTTAATTTTAAAAATAGTTTTAGTAAAAACTTCAAACAGCCATTTCCTGATGACCTAATAAAAATAACTCATTATTTCAACTACATAACAATTTTCAATGTAATAGTCTTAAGCTGTTTGAATTTCTTAGATGAGGTATTTTTATCATTAAGTGTGAGTTTTTCTTTCATTTTGTTACTTTTCTCATCACTTTTAATTTGTGTGACTTGTGAAGCAAAATCTACTGCTTCTAAATGCATTTGTTTTGCTCACAGTCATTAGTAAAATGCAACATTCTAGGCAAGCAAACACTTTATTGTCTATATCAGGGTTTCCCAACCAGGGCGACATCACCCACTGGTGAATGATTTCAATTGTTGGGTGGGTGATGAGTAACTGAACAAAAAATGGTGGGCGATATAAAATTTTGAGTATTAAAAGATATTTCAACATATGCTACCTCTCAGAAATATTAAAAGGAAATATGCAAAGAACCTGTATTAAAAAAAAAAAAAAGAGGTTAAATGGTAATAACTGGGTCACATTCCTAGATAAGATATAAATATCCCCACAAAAAACTAATATTTTGGTATTTTCTATAGTTTTCAGAAGGGTCATTAACATTGAAATAGTTCTTAAGTATTAGACATAACAAAAATATATTCAATGAATTTTTATTAGTTGCAAATCATGTATATTTTTTTCAATTTTATATGTATGAACAAAAATTGTTTCATTTTTTAAAACTAAATTATATATATAGTTTTCAATGGTCAAGTTTGCTTTCATTTGTTCTTTAATACAGTATTAGCCACTGCATATGCCAGCATTATTTGTTACTTCCCTTTGGTATTTTTTTACTATATCATAAAATCAGTTTCCGAACCAGTAACACACTTTTACCAAACAATTTTGGTATGCTTTTGAATATTTACTATACAAGTGGGTGATGGAAAAGGTTGGGAATCCCCAATAAAAACAAATTCAGACATAAAACTGCAAACATGTTATAAACTTAATTTTATTATAGGCTAAAATGAACAATAAAGTTTATACTATTGTTTTGTAATGAATATCTTACAGTTTTAATTTGAAAATATTAAGCTGATTAAATATTAATCCCATTTTCCATTGACTTTAGAAAATTGATAAGTGAAGTTCAAGCCAAGTAAACTAAAACTCAATAGATTCTGCACAACATTAATGTTTATAATAGAAAATTGTTTATCTCCTCAAATCTTTTCAAATATTTAAAGCAGATCGAATCAATTTTCTTTTTATAATTTAGAAATACCATAACATTTATAAAATAGGAAATTTTAACAAAAGTCTAAATTTACATATTTCTAATCAAAGTCCCTTGACCTAATTCATATGTACCCATAAATAGACAAAATATTACGATCAAAAGAGGAAGACAACAGTAATAAAAATTAGTTTAGTAGAATTGCTACCAAAGCTATTTTACTCCCTAAAATATGATTTTTTGAAAATCAAGTCTAGTAATCCAAAAGTTGTTTGGACGACTGAACTTTTTTTTTGTCCCAACAAAATTTCAGCTAGTTCAATTTACAACCTTTTTCAGATTTACAATTCAAAAGGAAAAAAAAAGGCAAGAGGTCTCTTTTTAAAAAATAAATTAACGGGAAATAATGAAGGCAAACATACCCACTAGCTTGGTTCATTTACCCACATTTTTCGAGGGAGATTAGGAAGTCTTGTCTGCTTTGTGTACTCTTGAAAGGGGTTGTGAAATGGATTAATCAATGCATTGTGGCCATAGAAATGACACAAAAAATGAATTCAATAATCCATCCAACTTTTGGAATAATTTTGAAAAATTATTGCAAGATTTAAATATAATAGACAAAAAGTCAATATATGGTTCATTAATTAGCACATTTTTTTAGCATTATTATAATTTTAGTGCATTTTTTACATCCACAGAAAACTCAGTTTCAAATGAGCAACATTTTAGAGTTAATAGAAAAAAAATCACCTCTTTTCCTGTTTGAAGTTCAATGCAATGCTCAGTAAAAAACTCCTTTTTCCGTAAAGCTATAGAATCAGCATTGGAACTCATAGCCTGTTGGAGAAATTAAAGTTTTTGTGAATATCAACTGAAAATTTGATTATCTATGAAACTTTATATTATTTTTATCTTAAACTAAATATAATGTGATAGAGAATTTACTTCTGTCAAAAAAGATTTAAACACTTTTTATAAGTGTTACAAAAAAAAAAAAGTTATTGTCATGAAAATTCAATTATAAACAATCACTCCTAGATATGCTTTTAAATTTATTTTTTTTTAAATGTAACAGCAGAATGGAAAGATGGGATAAATAATAGCAAAATATAAAGAGAGACAGTTTTCAAAGTTTTTTTTTTTTTTTCTCCAAAGCAAGATTATTATACATATCTCTAATAGCACAAAAGTATGTTTCTCCAATTACACAAAAAGAATAAATGCTTCAAGTAACAAATTAAAATATCTAACCAGAATTTATTTCCTCCAGCTTCTTTTTTTTTTTGTTCCCTTTTTCTGACTGCTGTTTATAGCAAATGTTCACATGTGTGTATGACATACAGAAAGTAAAGTCCAAAAATAATGCTTCTTGCTTTCTTTATTTCCATGAAAACTACAACAAATCTCTTTTGGTAAATATCACTGCTCAATGCATTTGGTCATCTTGTGTGAAAATGAAAATCCAATGGGCTTGCACTACATATCTGTACACTAGGTGTAACAAATAGGAACTGACTCAGCCTACTGGTGCAAAAATTTTCACACATGTGCAGGAAGGGTGGCGTCACCTCCCACTCAAAGGATTTTGCCTATAAATCATTAGTTTTCATGGGAAAAAAAATTAAGTCAAATACTTTTTGAACATGCCTTGTATTATAATAAAATTTCAATTTGAGTAAATTTCAAAATCTAATTATTCTTAAGAATTAGAAATAGCTATTTTGCACTAACAGGTATTTGACAAAAATATCTTAAGATATTCAGCACCAGATTTTTTTGGTTTTTGCAGTTTCACTACAGAAAACAAAATACAAATTTCAAAAATGGCAGTATTACATGAATAACTGTTTGGTTTTTAACAGGTAAATCAGTAAACATGTCAATTAACATCCTTTGGTGTTGAATGTATTGAGTAACATCTGGAAACAAAAAAACAGCCAGCTATTTGTAGCATGACATGTTTGTTAAATGAAACTGTACTTATTAAAATTTGACTAGTATTTAATTTCACTTTCCTGCTTATTTACCTCCTGCAGTAGTAATAAATATAATTGTCTTTTTCTTGTACCAGATTCTGTTTGAATGGGTGTACTTGGTGTTAAAACAGTGTGATATGGTGAAGATCAGATTGTGTCTCTATGACTAAAAATGGAATTTCAGTTCCAGACAGGTCTACATGTCCACATATATAATAAAGTACAACATAAGGAAGGTCTCCAAGGATACATTGGAAGTTACTTCATTTCCAATCAATGCTGCTGACCTAACAGTTGTAAAATATAAAAACTAGACTTTGAGATAAAAAGCAGTAAAAATAATATGGGGTGGGGAGTTAAAAATTATTAAAACACTACACTGAAGAAATTTAGATAAATAATCAGTAATCTAATAGTGAACTTATTAGATGAAGTATTATTAATCATTATTAATTTTTGGCAATCATTCTACAACCACTAATAAACAGTATGAATCAGTAATAAAGAATAAGTTTGTACAGTTTGATTTGATCTTCTACCAACTGTAAAGATCTCTTAGCTCAAACAGTAAGAGCAGCTATCTTTGTAATATAGGTTTTACAAAGCAAAAGGAATGCAAATTATTGTTTTACCTACAGACAACTCATTACTTATGATCTATGATAGTTAGTGATGGTTAAAAATGATGTTTCTGCAGTTGCAATGAAATGGTAGTCATAAATTATGGTTATACATTCAGATTGTATAATTTTTGTCTGAATTTCTGGTTTACACTATTTACATTCACACTATTGTCCTTGTCTTTGTTATCACTGCACAAGGAAGAACACTAGAGAGTTAGACATCTGAAAAGACCAGTGAATATGTTGGGCTATGAGGACCTCCTTAGTAGGCCTATCATAGAAATAAACACAATACGGGAACTGTTAATAAAAAAGACAACTGACAGCAATTCTTGAACAGCAGCAGCTGCACTCATAATCAGGCAGGTGAGGTTTAAGACTAAGTTCACCAAAGTATTGGTTCATGAATTTGGGGACATAGTAATCGTGAGTTCAATCCCTGGGCTGGGTAGTATGTACTTGGACTCAATGGAAAAAAGGGCAAGCAATAAATGAGCAGTAATAAAAATAAGAACAAGATGAGGTATCTCTAGACAAGGACAGTGGAACAAGAAAAGTCTACACCTGTAGATTAAAGAAAGAGTTTAGTTCAGAATTCCCTCTAGGTTACCCACATCAAAATACACCTGATGAAGGCTGGAGGGTACAATGATTGAAATGCTGTGATAACAACAAAGATGAGGACAATAGTGTACATGTAAATAGTGTAAATAATTCAAATTAGTTATTTTTCAGTATCAAATGATAATCAGGTTCAGTGAGGACAAATACCAAACATTTGGTATACACAATTTGTATTTATTAATACTATTTGTGCAAAATGAAAAGAAAGAAAGTTAAAAAGAACTGAAAAAAGAATTATAAATTAATTACAAACCTTAGATAATTTGGGCCTATCATAAGGAAGATAATCCTCTTTGGTTACAATAATAATTTTACCATCAAAATCTTCTTGCCTCAGTGTTTCTGCACATGAAAGAGATGCTGGTCCTAAATCCCAAATAAAATAAACATAAAAATTAATAACTATTTAAAAGAAATTGTAATGTAGAATCTTTTAAGTTTTTATGCCTTGTCAATATAAATAAAGGATTGATATATAAAATTACCGATAAAAATGTATACTGTAAGAATTGGGTTCACATTATCATTCTTGTTAGCCCTGCGCAGAGAAGTTAGTAGGAGAAGCAGAGGTAGAAATGAATGACACTGATATTGGATAATGATTATCAGAATCATAAAATGCTTGGCTTATGAGAACAAACAATTTAGATATATATAAAGAGGTTTTCGAAAGAGAGGATTATCTCCACTCTCCAAGTCCCTCATTAGGCATTAGTATATCTGTCATATACTAACACATTAAGATGGAAGGAATGACTAGAATAATCTAAAAAAAAAAAAAAAAAAAAAATGAATTCTAAAAATGAGTTATACATGAAAACATTTTATATACAAGACTGAAGTACATAAATATAACTGACACCAAAAATGCCACAATTGTCCCACACAGAAGAAAAATTAAAGCACATATAGTAATTTAAGTAGTATGTGAGGGGGTGATTAAAAAGAAGGTATCATTTGTGATGTCCTCAAGAGGGACTTGATACACTGTATAGCTCTGTAGTATCTTCTAGTTTCTTATTTGGAATACATGGAAAATGCATTGTCCTCAGTAGTCGGCCAAACCACAAGCTAAATAGCAACTATTCTCAACAACTGGCTGTCACATGACCCTCAAAGGCCTGTTAAGACAGTAAATTATTCCTATCAAAAGGAAAAATAATCACCTTCTGCATCTCTACATAGATGTATGCAAACAGGAGGCAACAGAAACAAAGATTTAAGTCAGCTGGTATCATGAACTAAGTTATGTGTAACTTGGGAATTGCTTTTAGATAGTTAACATTCATGAGAGAAAAATTAGACAAAAAAAATGGTTAACAAACCAACATCCTTTTTATATTAAGAGTCCATTTTTTTTTTTGTCTAATTTTTTTCCATGAATGCTGTCTAAAGGCAATTCCCAAGTCGGATATTTAGGGTAGAGGTGAAATAGTGATTTTCTAAGCCCGGCTTAGATATGGCACAAGGCCGAAAGTATGGGGCACCCAGTGAGGATCGAACTCACTACTCAGTTGTAATTGATCTAGCAAGACAAGCTTTCTAACCATTACACCACGTCGAGGTGCCCAGAGTAGAGGTGAAATATGAAACAAAAGAAATGATTTTTGGGTAATTATTTCTTACTTTACAGACTGAAGAAGCAAAATTGGTTCTTTATCTCTGTTAAGGTTTGAAGAATTTTTTCCAATACTGTTAGATTCTACTTTATACAAGACTGCAGGAACATTTATTTTCACATTACGATCATGTGTGCCTATATATTTTAGTCAATTACTAATACATTTATTTAGCACACTTATTTATTCCAATTCATATTTATTTACACTATTTACATTCAAACTATTATCCTCATCTTTGTTGTTGTTATCATAATGCTTTGACCATTGTGCCCGCCAGCCTTCATCAAGTGTATGTCAATCCAGGTTACTTATAGGGAATTCCGAACTGAACCCTTTATTTAATCTACAGGAGTAGACTGTTCTCATTCCATTGCCCATATCTAAATATATCTCATCTAGTTTTTATTTTTAGTATTGCTCAGTCATTGCTTGCCTGTTTCCACTGAGTCCATATATGCATTGCCCAGCCAAGTGATTGAACTATTACTATGTTACCAAATTTACAAACCAATTGTTTAATTGTGCCAGGTAGTGCATACTTGAACTCAGTGGAAACAGGTAAGCAAAAATGGAGCAATGTTAAAAATAAGGACTAAATGAGATATTCCTAGACATGTGCAATGGAACAAGAACAGTCTCCCCCTGAGGATTAAATAAAGGCTTCAGTTCAGAATTCCCTGTAGGTTATCAAGATCAATATACACTTGATGAAGGCCAAAGGGCACAAGCTCCGAAACATTATCACAAAGATAAGGACAATAGTTCAAATGTAAATAATGATAACATTTCATTCCAGAAATTCAGACAGCAATTCATATTAATTTGTTTCTATAATTTTCTGCTTTAATGTCTTGACTAAAGATTTGACATTCATGCTCTAAAGGAGCTAACTTCAACTGACTTAATCCTTGGTTTTTCACTGTCTACTGATTTTTACTCTATTCAGGATGTTTGTTCATCTCATTGGCCAAGCATTTTTTTAGACTAAACATTTTCATTGTCCAATAGTAATATGATCCCCCTCTTCAATTGCAAATTACTCTAAACTACTTGTCCCTTCTCAACATTGTACAAGGATAATGAGAAGTTAACCCTTACAATCTTTTTATTATATAGACTGAATGATGGGTTCTTTTTGCTTTAAACTGAAATCAATTTTATTCTCTTGTGTGAAGAATAAGACTGGTTTTAAAACTTTAAAATTATGTAAGAAATATCAAGGAAAGAAAACCAAAAAATGGTCATATTCGTTTTCTGTCTGCTGTATTCCTTCATGACATAGGCTATCATGGCTCTCCACAACTTCCTGTACTTTATAGCTTTTAGTACATATTGTCTTTTTGCTATCTTTCCTAATCCCTATCCTGCTAACCATTTACAAAAGCATGCTATGTTGGTTATACGCTGCTTTCCTCTGTCCCTCTTGCCTTCAATATGTCCTGTGAGTGTCAAATTTTCTAAGCCCTCTTTTCTCAATATGTGCCGTAGAAACTTCAATTGTCTCTTTCTGATTCTACAGGTAAATGTCCTTTTTTCCATTTTCTCTAAAACTTTGTTGTTGCTTACATGTTCAGTTTATGGTATTCTCAACATCCTTCTGTATAACCACATTTGTTTTCTCAAGTCTATTCTTCATCTGGGAAGAAATTATCCAGCATTCACTGCCATATAGCAGGACCGATATTACATAACATTTCAGTACTCTTTTGTTTGTTTCTATTGAAATTTTTCTGTTTCTTAATATGTTGTTTTAACTTTTCAATGGAATCTTTTGCTAAGCCAGTGCACATTTGGATTTCTGTGTCACGTTTTCCATCCTGTTAAAACACTTCCTAGATATCTAAATTTTTGTACTTGCTTGATTTTGGTGTCTCTAATTTATAATCCTCATGTTGGACTGTTCCTTTTGCTAACAACAATACATTCTGTATTTTTACAATTGATGTTTAGTTCTTTCTTCTTGCTTTCCTTTACTACCTTCTGTAGGAGTTCCTGTAGTTTCCTTTCTCTACCTGCTATCAACACTGTGCCATCTGCATATCTAATGTTAAGATTGTGGTTACCAATAACCAATACTGGTAGGATTTCTAATTCTCTCAGGATTGCTTCACTGTAAAAGTTGAATAAGTCTGGTGAGAAAACACATCCTTGTCTTACACCCATTTTTATTTTTGTGCATTTACTGAGTTCATTATATATCTGTATGCAGGCGATTTGCATCCAGTATAAATTCTGGATTCTTACCTCCTCCAATTAAAAGGAAAGTCTGTTGTGCTTCACTGTTACAATTAGCCATTTCTTTAACTCGTCGAAACTGGGTTAGCTTCTTCTTAGATGCTATCACTTTCACAATATCATTCTCTACTTCAACCTGTGAAAAAAGGAATGTTTTTTATTAATAAAATCAATAATGATAATTTTCCATGGTTATAAAGAATTGCTAGACATTTCATGAGGATTTTATCCAATAATAAACAAGATCAGAGTAAATTTAAAGATTAATTTTGCATTTGTATATTTATATAGACAGAGGCTTAATGGCCACATGGCTGAGTAGTTAGAATATCAGCATTCCAACCATGAGACCCAAGTTCAAATCTCACTATGGTCAATTTGTCAAGGAGATGTTCCCTAGCATATAAGGTATTGTCGAAAAATGTAATGACAAGTTGACCCAAACCATTTGGGGAAAATTGGGTGGATGAAATTGTTGTGAAGCCATCAACGGTTTGAGCATACTGGCCTTGTTTATCTATTGTTATGCCAGATTATGTATACTCTTCCATTGTAACTAATGTCTGCACTGCATAGTTTACTCCCAGCATAAGAGCTCGATTATTCTAATATCTTTCCCAAATAAATCAAGTTCTCATAGCAGTTCAAACAGTTCTTTATAAATCACAGGTATTACATCCTTTTTTATTTGTACTGTTTTTTCTGGTATCATTCTGAACATAAATATCACATTTCTTGTGGCAACATCTTTAATAAAACTGCACCCTTCTTGCACTATTTTTGATCTAATTCTACTATGCACTCTATTCATTAGAATTTGTTATGTAGGTTGATTATCCAATGGAGCTCACATTCATTTCCTTTTTAGCCAGCACAATGAAAATGAATCTACTTAGGTCTTCTGGTAGGATTAGCACTGTTGAATATTCAATTTATTATTTCTGTAATTTTGTCAATGCCAAAATCATCTAAAGTTGCTAGCATCTTTATTACAATTCCATTTGGTCCTGCTACTTCACTGATCATTTATCATTTTATGAATACTATTAGTGTATGTAAAAAAAAAAAAATTAGCAAAAAAAATGGTAGCCATTCAGATATAAGCCCATAACTTATGTGAAATGATTTGATCTATGTTGCAACTACTGGTTTTCAAAGCTGAAACAGTAAAGCAGCTGTTGCCCTGACAAGCAACTTAAGGAAACTGGGTTATTGTTTAAGTCTAGCCAAAAGCTTATTCAGCAAATATGGATGTTCATGCCTGCAATAAGAGAGTGTGAAAGGGACAATTTTTCCCAATCACTTTTTTTAACTACAGTCTTCAGTAATGTTTATTGTTTTAAAAAGTGATGACTAGAATTTTAATAAATTCTAATAATTTCTAGTGCAATTTATGACATAATAATATTAAGTTGCAAACTGTTCACATTTAACCCAATAATAATAATGATAATAATAGAATTTTTGTATGTTATATAAAAAAGACAAGAAGGTAAGGCTAACATAGAAAGAAGAGAAATGATTGTTCATTGCTGCATGAAATATTGATACTTTTAATTTATAGAAAAGAAATTATATATTTCTAGTCACTTTGCATGAGATATTAATTAAAACACAAACACTCATGTAAAACAGACAGCTCATCTGCATAAAAATTAATATCAAAATAGCAACTAAATCATCCATCATTCTTTTCTATTAATTAAATATTAATTATATGCTTGTATGTAATTCGGAGTTAACATTTATAAAAAAAATTAAAAAAACAGCTAGTGAACAAGGTTTACTCAGGGAACTTTTGAAAGAGAAATTTATTAAAGCATTATAACTTATCAGGAGTAATAAATATTTTTAAAGAAAATAATAAATATGAAGAGTTAAATATATTTCATTTGTATCATAAAAGGGATAATTTTTTTCTTGTAAATCCAAAGGGAGCTGGGGAATATCAGAAATTAAAATCATATCAAACATTAGTCCCTCTAGTTCACTATAATCAGAGGGTGCTGAAAAATGTTTGGCCCAAACTAGAAATGCTATTGATTGATTTGTTTTTTTATGGTTTAAAACCTTTCTTCAGTTATTTAAAGCCAAAACATATTTTGGATTGTAAGAATAATTTTCTTTTTTTTTATGCAAGTGGATATGGCATTAACAATTTTTTGAGAATAACAATGATTTTTCCAGATACAAATTCTACTATTTAATCCATAGCTGAAGGGCAGAAATGGATTCATACTTTACCCAAGTGTATTTGTGCATAAGTGAATGTAATGAACCTGACTAGAATTGGAACTTGGCTCTCCAATTCCTCATACAGAGAAACTAGAAGGGACTTAAAAAAATTGTTTGGTCAGATTTTTGGGTGTAGATTGATCTGAAAACATTTCAACACCTTGTATCATTAGATAATAAGAATTGTTTTCATTCAACTACTACCTACCAATTCTTTTTGACACATAATCAGCAGTTAAATAATATCAGGAATAGAGTTTGATTTGGTAGTGTCAAGTCAAAACTATCATGAGTAAAGTAGTGGAAGACCAGAACAATCAAATACATTCATGGGAGACAAAGAGTATCCAGTCCATGCCAAGAACAATTTATTAAAACCTTTTCAACATTTATGTGGCTAAAGAACAACAAGTTGCACATACAGAAATATCAGCTTTAAATATCTGTGTCAAATGAAGCTTTTCAGAAACAGTAATACCAACCTTAAATGTATGAATACTATCAAGTCCAGGAAAATCTTCAATATCACCCGTTTTCACATTGAAACATGCACCATGAAATGGACAACGGATTCTTCCATTGCAATAAGCACCTAAATTTTAATGAAACATTAAAAGAATCACCATACATAATACAGGACAAATGTTTATGATAGGATGACATTAATTATAATACAGTCAACTAAAGTTTTATTAGATAGTTGATGGCAATAAAATGGTAGAAAGCAAACAAAACCAAGAAATATCTCAAATGAAAGAAGATTGTAAATTGTAAAGAAAGATTCATGGCAATATATTACCATTTTTATTCACAAACAAAGAAATTTTCAAATAGCATCAAAATCCAGAATGGTAAAGTTTGCATTATACACAGGCATATTTTTGCAAATTTTGTTAACTTGTATCAATAAAGTAACCACTACATCCAGTGGTCTTGTTCTAAAAAGAGAATAAATTGTCAACCCACATATATTTTGTATGACTACAATGATTTATGGTGCAAATTTACTTCTCATGGATAGACACTTTTAATATATGTCTGGCAAATATGTTTTTCATAGCAGAAATCTTAAGCTGCAAAAGATATTCAAATCTGGGGGTTATACTGGCTTCTGAAATCTTAAGATGAGACATGGTACAAAAATTGATCATTCACACCTTCTATATATATATATATAAAAGTAGAGGTCACATTTTACATGAAAATAAAATATATTCATACTTTTTTATATAGAAAAATAGGGGTACACAAGTAATCTTAAAATAGTTTTTACTCTCAGCTTTATAACCTGAATAAACTAATCTGCATAAAATATTTGGAAAATTATAAGACAGGCTTATTTTGAAAAATTAGTTTCTTAGCTTTTCCATCATAAATTGATTTTGAACTTAAAGTGCATTTTTTTAATAATTATTATGCATTATGCAAATATCAACATGCAGAAAATATCTTTGAGAGCTGTTGTGTCATGCAAAGTTCTCACAAGTACACAGTGTAGTCAAGGAAAGTGAGTAGAAACAAAGTGCAGAAAGATTCCCAGTTATATACAATCTAATTTGCATATCACCACATCTCCTGGAACCTTAGAGGCTTTATTGCCTTTGGTAGATCTGCTACTTCTACAAACCACTCCAGGAGATGTACTGCTTGTCTCATGGGGGTTGCCTAGATTTCTCTTTATGAGGAATCTCTGTTTTACCAGATTTTTTTCATTTGAACCTTCCACATGTTCTTCATTATCACTAGACGCACTCATTCTCTCTTCCCCCTCACTCTCAATTCTTGGTGATCATCCTGATCCCTCTCTTCTACACCAGGCTCTTCCTCTATTTCAATATCTTGCGAAACAATTGTTTTAAAAGAAAAAAAAAGGAGAAACTCGCTGTATACCACGACTAAACAAGCATGTACAAAATAAATTAAAAAAATACGTATAATAAATACTGTAAATGAATTAAACAAGAAAAATATAAAAACAATACAATCGAGACTTTCCTTAACATTGCTTTCTTTGAGCAATTGTTTCGCAAGTAAAATTTCTCGCTAAGAGTTACATTAAGAGCATAATGTATTGTATTTGTTAGATTAATTATATAGTAGTATGATTAATTTTATTCTATTTATATCTAAGCCTAACATTTATTTATCTGTTTTTATGAAGGTGGTCGTAATTTCCGGAATTAGAGGGAAGCATTTTTGTAATGTTATTTTGTTTATCTTTGACTAGTGGCTCATTATCGCCGTTTTTTTTCATCTATTATTTTATATTCAAAGATTCTTTAACAACATTTAGTATGAATTTTATTTCTTTACATTTTCTTATTTATTTGTAAAGTAACGTAATTTCAATTTTATTGAAAACGCGTTCCCAGTTATAACGTTATTTTGTTTTGTTTTTACTTTTTACTACTAGAAAATTTTTTGTTTACTCTGTTTTACTACTAGAAAAATTCTGTTTACTCTGACATTCAGTGTATGTTCTATGTATGTAAGTGGCAGTGGGTACAAGTAGTACATTTTACCGCGAGGCACTTAAACACCAGGTTGGAATCTGGCGCGGGATAGCTTTTCTTAGATGAGGGTGAATGGAGTCTCTCTGAGCCTTGGTTGGCAATCCATTCAGTGATGGTGTCACAATAAAAACACCCTTAATAGCCCTAGCAAAGCATCAAGAATCCAGCTATTGACAAGATTATGAACTACACCAATCAAAGTATTGAAGATAACGACGTAAATGGGGCTGGAACTTCTTGTGAAGGCCCCACGTCCGGCAGGTGTCCCATTGTTCAGCAGGGTGGGCCCAGTCGTCATCATGCAACTGCTTGAATCTTTGAGGGAACAGCTCTGAACCCTGCGGGGTGGACTGCCCCCGATGATAAAAGAACGAGATCAAAATTTGTATCATGTAAAAACCGTGCTTTTATCAGCACGTTCAACACTAGGACACTGAATCCACCGTCCCATCTTAACGAACTTGTGAAAAATACAGAGGATCAGAATATCGATATCATTGCCATTCAAGAACATTGTTTCTTCCATCCTGACACTGATATTGAGTATCACAGGATCGAAAACTATCATCTTGTTACAGCCTCATGTGTGAAGAACTCCGCCAACTCATCTATAGGGGGTGTAGGCATTCTGCTTTTGCCAAAAGCGATGGAGAATTTATCGAGTGTAGTGAAGATATCATCAAGAGTCGTTATTGCCGATTTCAAAGGTAATCCTAGAACAACAGTCATATCTTGCTATAGTCCCCACAACGATAGTGACGATGAAGAAATAAACCAGTTTTACAATATTCTACGTTCTTCTCTAGAGAACATTCCAGCTCACAACTTTCTCTTAGTACTTGGGGACTACAACGCTAAGCTTGGAACAGATGATGCCAAATTCACTTTCCATACAGAAACCAACCGTAATGGCAAGCATCTGGTTGACTTAATGGAGGAATTTAATCTGTATCCAGCTAACACTAAATTTATGAAGTGCAACAATCAACTATGGACCTTTGAGTATCCAAATGGCAGCAGAGCCCAACTAGACTTCATACTGGTTCGTAAGAAGTGGCAGAATAGCATCATACTCATCTTTCTCTTCCGTGGGATCTGACCATCGAATCGTCTCTGCCGCAGTTAAACTGAGTTTTAGAGTTTCGAAGAGACCAACTGCGGATCCCATGAAAACTATTAACTGGAAAGCGGTCTACCATGACAAGAATCTATCATCTCAGTATGCAGTGAATGTGTTTAACAGATTCCAAGAACTCTTTCACTACGACCCAGAGAACTCTCAGTTAGATTCAAGGAACATAGACCTGATCTATGGAAACTTGATTAAAGCCAACGAGGAGGTGGCTCTATCTACACTCCCCAAAAAACCAAAATCACGAAGAAGTCCAGTTAGTTCAGGCATCAAAATCTCAGAAGCTCAAGAAAATCTCAGGAAAACCTCATCGATGTACCACTGCCACCCTTCTCAGAGCAATAAGAAGAAGTTAACAGCTGCAAAAAAATCCCTTGACCATGCTTATCTTGAAGCTGAAGAAGCTTATATAAATGGGAAAATAACTGATATTTCTCATCTTCATATCAACCAACAACACTCTGCAGCTTGGAAAAGTATAAATGAACTAGTGGGAAAGAGATCAAAACCTCCACCAACAATTAAAGGTGGCAGCCGCGAACAACGGCTTGGTAATTGGCTTTCTCATTTCAAAGACCTCCTTGGTCATCCCGCAAGTCTTTCTGATCATGTGTCCCTCCCAAAAGTCCAAATTAGTAGTGCTTTGAACATATCAACAGGAGAGTTCACCATTGCAGAGTTGAAATGTGTTCTAATGAAGACAATGAACAAAGCTCTTGGTCCTGACAAGATTCCGGTCATCTTGTGGAAGGACCCTATTTTTCACCAATTACTTCTTGATCTGTGTAATTATGCAAAGGCCAGCCACGTTTCACCAACCATCTGGCTACAATCGCAAATCATCCCTATCTCCAAAAAGGGCAATTTGACATTACCAACCAATTATCGCGGTATTTCATTGCTTCCTATAGCTGCGAAAATCTATAACAAGCTTCTTCTAAATCGAATTCGCGCTGAAGTTGAACCCATTCTACGCAAAAACCAAAATGGTTTCTGCCCAGGTCGTTCCACTCTTGGACAAATCCTCACATTGCGTAGAATAATTGAGGAAATCACATTCTGCAACAAAACTGCAGCTCTTATCTTTGTAGACTTCAACAAAGCTTTCGACTCAGTCAACCGCGAGATTATGTTTGAAATTCTTAAACTCTACGGCATACCAGTAGAAATCATTGAAGCAATCAAAGTATTGTACACCAACACACAGGCCACTGTCCTGACCCCAGATGGAGAAACAGAACCTTTCTATATTCTGGCTGGCATTCTCCAAGTTGATACACTTGCACCTTTCCTTTTCATCATTGTAATAGACTACATCATGCGTATATCAGTGGATACAATCAAAGAAAATGGTCTGATGTATCAGCCTAGAAGAAGCTCACGTCATCCTGCACTTTACATCACCGATGCTGATTTTGCTGATGACATTGCATTGTTGTCTGACAACCTCATTAGTGCCCAAGCACTCCTTTCTTCTCTTGAATCAGCAGCTAACTGTGCAGGTCTACACCTAAATGAAACTAAAACTGAGTGTATGCCAATTAACATTCGCAACACTCATGAGATCAAAACACTCTCAGATAACATCATCAAATGTGTCGAAGACTACAAGTATCTAGGATCACACATCAAGAACTCTGAGAAAGGCTTCAACATTAGAAAAGGTATAGCATGGACTGCTTGTAACAAAATGGATAAGATCTGGTAATCCAATCTTGCTCATCAATTCAAAATCCAACTTTTCCGCGTACTTATTGAGCCAATCTTACTCTATGGCTCTGAAACTTGGACTCTCTCAGCAAAACAACAGCATTGTTTAGATGGATGTTATACACGTCTTTTAAGAAGAGTGCTTAATCTCTCATGGCAAAACCACCCAACTCTAGAAATGATATATGGTGACTTGCCAAGAGTATCAACTTTAGTTTGTAAGAGACGTGTCCAGTTCGCCAGGCATTGTGCACGTGCCACAGATGAACTTGTGTCATCATTTGTACTCTGGAGGCACCCATCATCTGTCAATCGATCACGCAAGTTAACCTTTCCAGATAGGATAAAACGTGACACATTGATCCCTAAGGAAGATCTTTTAGGTGCTATGACAGATAGGGAATACTGGAGAGGTGTAGTGAGTTCAATCTCGGCTGAGGCCGCAAGATGATGATTTCAATATCTTCTGGCTCTCTTCATAATCTAAACTGGTCTTTATGAGCTAACACACCCTGTCCTTTTTTTGTTAATATTGCTGTATTTTTGCACTACAAATTGTACTTTCTCAGGATTTGAATCTTTATTCCTTTTTTTTACCATACATTCTCATTTGTTGAGAAGGGCATAGTTATTGGGGCTCTAATTTGCTTTCCCATCAATGCTGAGGGGCTTTGTGTTCTGCCTGCATGCAGGATGGTCCTGTAACTTAAAAGCAATCTTGGTAGATAACTTTCTTAACTTTCAATCCATCTTTTATCATATGGACCATCCTCTCTGCAATTCCATTTGACTGAGGATGGTATAAGGGTGTTTTGTATGGTCTACATCCAATTTGTGTTAACCATGTACACAAGCTTTCTTCAGCAAACTCTGTATTATCTGATACCAATGTTTTAGGTACTCCATTCCTTGAAAATACTACTCTTAACACCAGTTTTACAGTACTTGCTTTTCTGTCTGAAACTTTAACCGTTTCAGGCCAACCTGAATATGAGTCTACTAGTATAAGGAATAGGTCTACATATTTAATATATGCATGATCCATGTGTACTCTTATTAATGGCTCTTTCTCTTTTGGCCATGAATGAATCTTGGTTTGCATAACATAAAGCTCTTTATCTTTGCACACTTAGGGCATTTTCTGACATAATCTTCCATATCTCATGTATACCCGGCTACCAAACTTGTAATTTCAACCTCAGTTGTGTGTTCAATACACCACCATGTATATCACCGTGTGCTGCTTTAATAACATCTTTTCTTAATGAATTCAGTGATACAATAAGATCTCTACTACATATGACTCCTCTTTCAATTGTTAATCTGTGTCTTGCTTCCTTAAAAGGCCTTTCTGCCATAGAACAATTGTGCCATATATTATCCCATATTCTATTCAATACACTTTTTAATAAAGAATCCTGCTTGGTTTCAAACTTGAGCCACCTGAAGGATAACACATATGTCTCTACCCAGTGCAAAATTCTCTCTTCACAACTGTTATTTGTTTCAACATTCTGGATATTAAAATTCAGTCTTGACAATGCATCTACATGTGAAATGGCATTTCCTTTACTATTATGTCAAAATCAAATGCCATAAGCATAATTTCCCCACCTCAAAATTCTGGACGACGTGACTTTAACCAATTCTTTCCTCAAGTTGAGAATGAACTCTAAGGGTTTGTGGCCCAAATTTAGTAGAAATTTCTTACCCAATAACAAATTGCATGCTCTTTCAGTACTCCAGACAATTGCCAGCTCTTCTTTTTCAATGTTAGAATAATTTATCTCTGCTGCCATCAACTTTCTGGACAAATACATAATAGGATGTCCCTCTTGTAATAAAATTACCGCTATGGCATGTTTGCTAGCATCAGTAGTTAGTGTGTGTTCTTTTGTTGGGTCAAATACCTTAACTACTGGCTTGTTTTTAAGTGCTTCCTTTAGCTTTTGGAAGGCCACCTCTTGTCTTTCAGTCCACTGAAATTCATTATTCTTCTTTTTCAAGTTACAAAATGTTCAATCATATCACTATATCGAGGTATATATTTATTATAAAAGTTAGTCAAACCCAAGAAAGATTCTAACTCTTTCTTATTTTTTTGGTGTAGTTCTTTCTGATATTTTGTTAATGAGTCTGCTATCTGGCAAGATCCTATCTTTAGATATTTGATATCCTAAGTATGAAATTTTCTCACAATTAAATTTACACTTATTTTGATTGTTATGCTTGTATCACTCAATCTGCTCAGAACTTGTTCTGTTTTATTCTTTAACTCCTCCTCAGTACAAACACTAATACCTCTGTCATCCTGATAGACAATGTGTTTTTTACTATTTCCACAACTTTCTCACTAGCCTTTTGGAATATATATGGCTGGATGTTTTAATTCCAAATGGCAGACAAGTCCACCTTAGAAGACCTATAGGAGTGTTTATTGTGGTGACTTCTTGAAAATGATCGTCAATTTTAATCTGATTATATGCAGATTCCAGATCAATTTTGGCAAAAAATTTAATGCCAGCAAACTTGTGACAGGCTGTTTCAATATTTGGCAATGAGAAGGAGTCTGAACATAACTGATGATTTACAGTGACTTTGTAGTCACCATTAAATCTCCATTGGTTTTGCGTAATAAATATAAATGTAATGAGTTTAATATTAAAACCATAGCAAAAATATGACTAAAAGATAACAGCTCTAGTGTTAAAATAAATGTGACAAAAAATGTAAAAAATCATGATGTGAGCAGTAAATTTACAGTTTTTTTTTTATGTAACTTACCTTTACTTAGAGGAAGGCCATAATGAGTGCATTTGGAACCAAATGCAAAAATTCCATCATCTTTCACAATTAAAGCTTTCTCATTACCAATTTCAATTTCTTTTATTCTGAAAATAATAAGACAGATTAATTTGCAAACACTTGTTAACAGATGAGTACCATTTTTAAATTGATTAATTCTAGCAAATTTACCACTAACTTTAACTATTTGACACGACAACAATCATCTAATATATGAAGCTAAAAGTTAGTGCATGTCTGAATCCTTGAAAATATGATAAAATCATTTTAAGGCAGTGATTCCCAAAGTGGGCAGTACCACCCACTGAGGGTGGTGGAAAGATCCAGGGGGCTGGTGAAAAAAAAAAGTGGGCAGCCAGAAGGCAACAGTGGCACATCTGAACCATAATATTCATCACACACATACACACACACACATTATACCTGAAGTGTATCTTGCCTTCACTTTACATTGTATCCCATTTATATAACAATTATTATGGGAAATACTAAGACACTCATTTTACATGCAATGTTATCACTAAAAAATCCAATCAAAAGTTGACTATACATTGTGGGGGGTAAGGTTGTGTCTATATATTGGTGAGGGTCGATTTTATCATTCAATTAACTACCTATCTGATATAAAGAGTTTGTATATCATATTTCTCTCAAAATTAATAAAATATGTATGAAGTCTTTGTATGTGTTTGTACATGTGTAAAACTGTAGCATCAAATAAAATGCAGTTTTTAATTTATATTTTCCAACGTGTCTAAAATACTGCCAATCTTAGAGGTTCTTGTTTAATGAAAATTACTAAAAGACTGTTCCGTGAGTTCTGGAAAATCTCAAACAAAGTATGCAATAGTCACAAAGTGCCTACAATCATAAATGTCCCCAAGGCTATTTTATCTTTGTCAGATAAAGCAAGGCTCTTTGTAATGAACTTTACCTCTAATCTTATGTTAGACAATAAGTGTCATCCCCTAACTTACTTCCCCCTTCTCATTGAGCAAGAACTTAGTAATATCTCTATTACAGTACAGGAAGTTTTCAAATTCATCAAAAACCTTAACTCTAAGAAGGCTACTGGTCTGGATAAAATCCCAGTAGTTGTTCTTTAGAACATTAACTCAAAGCTATCACCAAACTTGGTTAATCTGTTTAACTCTTGTCTGAAGAAAAAATGTTCCTCAAATCTATGGAAGTTGTCAGCTGTGTAACCCATTTTCAAAAATGCAGGTGAGTACTCATCTGTATTGCAATATCAACCCATCAGCCTCCTTAGTGCCATCAGCAAACTTTGTGTCTATAATCAACAAAGTTGTTGGAAGAGTTTTCTCAATTATCAAGTCCTTCCTAACAGGTTCATTGTTAATAGCCAGTCTTCTGAAGCTCAAGAGGTCAATTCAGGTATTCATCAAGGTTCTCTTCTCAGTCTGACCCACTTCCTGCTTTATATTAATGATCTACTTAAGAACATATTGTGACCTTTAATGAATATTTATGCAGATTATACCACAGTTTATGAGAGCAACACCAAAAATCTAGATGACCAGAAGCTGGCAGCTGATCTGGTGGTATCCAACTTAATTTTAATGGCTCAGTAGGTGGAAAACTGGCTTTTTAACATGCAATACTTCCCAAAATAAACTAGTAATGTTCTATCATCCCCAATCAGACTCTGAATTTTCAATTATCACAATGAACGATTGTTCTCTCAAGGAGGTTCTTTGCCTTGAATACCTATTGGGAGTCAAGTTCATCCCAGGCTTCAAGTGGAACTCATATATACAAACCATTGCTAAAATCACCAGAAAAACAATCATTCCTTGTATCACTCCAAGCTGATTCTGCCTGCTATGCTCTATCTTTACAAAAGCCTAATCAGACTAAAAATCAGACCCTATTCTGGAGGGAGCTGTCCAGTTTTCATTTTCCAGTTTTGGGAGAGTTCTGAATAATCTTTGAGGTCTTGTGGCTGATGAATTATTTTCCACTCTACAATGTCTATCCCACAGATGAAACATCACAAGCCTCTTGCTACTCTATTGCTATTTTCATGGCATATGTTATGAGGATCTACATTCCTTAGTTCTACTAGTTCAGACCTTCACAGCTAAGACCCACCATGATATGTACACTGAAACGAATCATCTATTCTTTTTGTATATGGTTAGGAAGAAGGAGGTTCCTTTTGGGCAGCTTCTTTCCAAGAACTGCTACTTTAATCTTCCCCAACTATTACAATCTTAACCTCTTCAAATCTATGGTTAATTATTATCTTTCCTATATATCCTCATAAACTGCACTTCTTACATCCTTTTCTTATGTCCATCATCCTCAATCAGTAATCCTCTACCTTGAGTGGCTCTTGGGTCTTGTATTAGGTGAACAATGAGTAAAAAAAATTTAAAAATATTAATTTCTAATTTAGTCTTTTGTGATCTTCAGAAATAAACAATTTTTTTTTATAGATGGCTTTTATAATTAAATGGCATAGTTATTCAAATAAAGCCATTTTCTGCCCTGAAAATGGTAACCAAACTACATGGAAATTAGCAATGACATTTTTTAAAATAGTATATTTTAAAATTCTAACAAAAATTCTAACATGCCATACTAGCAGGGATACCCAGTGTTGCCCTTATATTAAAATAACACCAAAACTGAATTAAATTGTAATGATTATAGTTCATCATGAATTTGTACATTACTGATGTTATTTTGATATAACACATAGGTGATACTGGATAACCCTGCTAATTTATTTTAATCTTTTCATTTGTAATATATATTATATTAAAAATGTACTATATTTTAGTTTCTGATTTTAAGCTAGACACACATACACAAATAAATGTTCATTATTATAGAAAAGATTAAAAAAACTGTCAAAATGTTTAAACCTATCAAACCACTTTACAAAGGTGGTACTGAAATGTCCTTGGCCTAATCTACTTCTTAAAAATCTGCTCAATGACCAAACACATTTTCACATTTTTTGAAAGGGTTTCTTGATTAGGCTGAGATCTTTTAAAGCACTACCTTATAATTATGGCAGTTTTGCTAATGCCATTTAATGTGTAAACTTCTCACTGAAATCAATGCATAACAAAATAGAGAAAAGTGAAGAGACTTGGCCCATACAAAGCTGGATATTATTGATAATCATATGTAAAATGAAAAATTTCTGAACCATTGAAATTAAATCAGTTTAGTGGTAAATGTTTTACCACATTTTAATGTGCACTGATACAGCCATTCTTATTGTTGCTTCAATATAATGCCTCAATAAATATACACAAGATTTTTTTATAAAAATAGATTAGTCTTAATAAAATTATCTAAGTGGAAAGTGATAGTTGTAAAAATTGTCTTTTCATAGTGTTAGCAAGAAATCATCACAAAATGGGTCTTCTATATGCCATGTTCAATCAGGATGTGGGCAAACATGACTCTCCACAATTTCCTGTCCATTCTAGCTCTTAGTAAATTTTGTGTTTTCGCACTCATAATCTCTGTTCTGCCAACCATTTATACAAGCTTGTTAGGGAGGTTATGTACCGCTTTCCTCTGTCCCTCTTACCTCTAATATGTTCTGTGAGTGTCAAATTTCCCAATCCCTCTTTCCTGATTATGTGCCCTAGAAATTTCAGCTCTCATTCTGATGTTAGGTATAAGTATCCTTTTTATTTCTATTTTCTCTAAAACTTCTTCATTGCTTATATGTTCAATACATGATATTCTCAACATCCTTTTGTAGAACCACATTTCTGTTGCTTCAAAGCCATTTCTTCATTTGTGATAAAATTGTCCAGCATTTATTCCATATAGGAGGACCAATATTACATAACAGTTAAGTAACCTATTCTTTGTTTCTAACAAGATTTTCCTGTTTTTTAATACTTTGCTTAGCTTTTGGAAGGCAAGTTTTGCTATTCCAATGCACCTTGTGATTTTGGTATCACATATTCCGTCTGCCATTAAAACACTTCTTAAATATCTAAATTTTTGTACTTGCTTGATTTTGGTGTTTACAATTTGTAATTCGTGTGTTAGGCTCTTCTTTTTGCTGAAATCCATACATTCTGTTTTCTTACAATTGATGTTTAGTTCTTTTTTCTCTCTTTCTTTTACAAGGAGTTGCTGTATTTTTCTTTCTCTGTCTGCTATCAACACTGTGTCAGGTGTATATTTAATGTTGTAAAGATACTGGTAGGACTTCTAAATCTCTCAGAACCACCTCACAGTAAATGTTGAATAAGTCCAGTGAGAAGACATAGCACTTATTAAACTGATGGATGAGAAAGAAGATTGGATTCATTTGGCATAGGATACAAAGGGAATAATAAATAATTTACCCAGAGTGAATATGATTTACATAGTGGAAGTGATGTCAGTGATCACGGACAAGAAAAGACAGACTGTTCTCTTCTTACAATTCCTTTCTCTCTCCAACAATTACATACTTTTCAAGTGATTGCCACAGAAAAAAAAAAGGAGTAATTTTTTTTGGTATATTGAATCAACATTTTTATTCTATCTAAAGAAAAAAAAATTTCAACCACATCTTACAAAATTTACATATGTGATTAAATGGCATTGGCAAAACTGTCATTTCACATTCACAATTCTTTTTTCTTGATCATATCTTTAATCTCAGAAAATTTTGATGATACTGATTTGTATATCTCCCAATGACTACTCAACCTGAAACACTAAATAGACTTTTTATTTTATTTTTTTTTTTACACTTTTAACTTTCGAATATTAAATTTATAATTCTTAAATGCCATGTTAATTTTCTGATAGGCAATGGTTAAAAGAAGTACATACTTGCCACGCTCAAGATCATTTACATTTCCAACGACAATTTCCACTTCATCAGATTCATCAGCACTTGGGATGGTATTTGTAGAAGGCATTCTGCCACTTACGGATTGGTCTTTTACTTTGTAAGTTAACCCAGTCACTTGAAAAAAAAAAGAAAGAATAAAAGCTGATTTGGAAGTCAAATATAAAAAAAAATCTTATTCAGAAGTAAATATGAATATGGAAACATGAAAGAACTTATGTTTTTCACTGAATATTCTAATATAAAAAAATGTTCATATAAGAGATTTACTATTAAAAACATGATTCCTATTAATTTCTTTACAAGTTGCAAAGAAATTAACAAAATTATTAAATGATTACTTTGGCATACCATATTTAAGATGAAACCTGCCAAGAAGAATGAAGAAATAAGTTCAATATGGAATAATCTTTGAAGATTGCAAACAGAATTGGACAGTTGAATGAGAAATTGACTGTTAAAAAGGAAGAAGAAAAAAAGTATAAATTAATTCACTTGCTACTCAGATATTATATCTAATCTGAAAATATTAACAATAAGAATTAAATAATTAAATTTTGTCTAACTTAATATTTATATTGAACTACAAAAAAATTCTATTTTCTTCAAATTGAGTTCAAATTAAATTATAACAAAAGATTACTTTAAAAGCATCTCCATTCTTACTAAGAAACTAAACGTTTGTATTGTAGACATTTAAATAGGTTAAAATTAAAGACAAATAAACATTTAGTTAAATTTTTTAAAATAACATGAAAATGACTTTTTTTTTTACTAAATACTATAGTATATAATAATAATAAATGCCTTGCTGCTTTACTGTGCATGGATCTCATGGTTTTTGATCTTAATTGATTAGAAATGTTGACATGCATAGGTTTTGGATTGTAGAATTAAATGTGCTACAGTAAATATCACATTCAGAAGCACAGATTTGATTATCAGTTTCTGAACCATACATACATGGATGTCCCCTAGGAGTAGATGTGTGATACTATGGACACCCACATTAAAAGAGAGGAGGTGGGTTTATCTTAATCTCAAGTGTTTCAGTTTGATGGGCCAGCAGATAGAAGACAGAACTTCAAAAGGAACTAAGTGGCATCCACTTTAACCGAGTAGGAATGGAAAATAAAGAGATTTTCAGAATATAGCAACAACACAGCCAGAAATCTTACTTATTATAAAATGCAGATTGTGTGTGTGTGTGTGTGTGTGTGTGTGTGTGTGTCTGTACGTTTATATATGGGATCGTATTTTCTACATTTTTCAACCAATTTCAACAAAACTTCACAGGACTACGTAAAATTATCTGGCAGTGGTTCTGACAGTGCCAAAAATTGGAAAAACACAATTGCTTTTGCACAAAATCAATTTGAAAACACGCTTAAGAGGCATTAATGAAAGGGGGACAACTCATATCGAGTTATACTTATTATAAAACCCAGGTTGTTTGTGTGTGCGTGTGTGTTCATTTATATATGGGATCGGATTTCCTACATTTTTCAACCAATTTCAACAAAAATTTACTTTTTGGGGGGGCAGGTAGTGTTTCTTATTGTCTTGCACACTTTTTTCTTTATTTTTACATTCAGAATGCTTTAAAAATTCCATTTACAAGACAATTGTTTATAATAAAATTCTATTCAATCGGTAGACTCATAACGATTGAAAACAATGTTTTTGTTTGAGTTTGGGTTTGACCAATTCGTTAAAAAAAAAACTAATTAAGACATGCGTATCCATCAACCTTAAACAATAATCTTTGTCAATTTTATTTTTCAATCTTTATGATAGTCGATACTTGATCTATCTCTTACTCTTACATCCCTGGGCAACACCGGGCTCTACTGCTAGTAGGTTATATCTAGGTGCTGGTCTATATTAACAGTCATCCTGCAATAGTTAGGACTAATTAAAATTTTTTTAAAAACTTAATCTAATAAAAAATTAACAACTAGAATATTAGTTACTGTATATACTAGAGTATAGTGTGAGATTTTATGATCAGTTGTTAACACAAAAAAATATTGGGTTGCACTATACACAGGTAATTTTCTTCTAGTAGGGTTAAAATTCATGTAAAAAAATTCAGGGGTCACATTATATGTAAAGTCAGCTTATACACGAATATAAAAGATCAAACAAAATTAATCTAAATATTTGATATATCAAATTTAAAGAATATATGATTGCAAAAACTTCATACTTGTTTTAATTTTCATGTTATGCTTTTAGACTCTTCAACACAGGGAAAAAATAATATCAGATAATGACATAGCAACAAAAATTAAATTCTAAAATGTTTTTGGAAAAAAAATAAATAAAATAAACATCAGACCAAATTTTATGTTCCACTGAAAAGAAGTTTTTCTACAGCATTTGCAACTCTTCCAAAATTTAAATTTATTTTTTACTGCTGATGTTAAATAACATGAATAGAATTTCAGTTCCTACAGTTTTAAAAAATCTTGGGATCTTATGCAAAGTGTGCAAAATATTGCCTGCAAAAAAATGGTTGGCAACTATGTATTCAGTCTTTAGTTAAAAAGAAAAAGCAAATAAATAAAAAAATGCTATAAACTTTTACACCTAATATAATGAGAAAATTATTTTCTTTACAGTTACATATTGTAAAAATGATTAGACAAATAGAAATATTTAAATTCATATCACACACATGCACACACAAAAGAGAGAGAGAGTTCTAAAAAGTTCCCAGTGTAACCAAAAAGCTCTTAAAAAGTATAAGATTTCAGGCATTTTCTTAGCTTTTAAAAAAGGTTATGCTGAGAATTTTTCAGGACAACTTCATAAAATAAAGTGTTCTCTACTTACAGCAGGCAAGCAATGAGAATTATTTTTTAAGTGCTTGAGAATAATTCATGGTTGGAGTACAATCCTATTGTGAGTTATATAATTCATTCAAATTGTGGTCAAGTAGGAAAGCTTATTTCATATTCTATTAATGTAATTGTCATGTGCTTGTATTCCTTTCAATGGAAAATAAAACTTTGGAGTTATACATTTATTTGAGAATATAATGTGAATAAACTAATTGTTTGTTGTTTTGAATTTTGAAATGAATCCACTTTAGCTTCAAGTATTGTTTCTAGCAACTGATGCAGATTCCTCTAAAACTATATCTGAATTGTGTTTGTTTTAATTACTGGTTATATTTTTCACAAACAACAACATTTTTATAATGTCTATAAATTATGAGAAGAGAATAATTAACATATCCAACATTGTTCAAATAAACAAATCTTCTTATATATTTGCTGTTACCATGTTTTGACAAAGCCATTCTTCTGTAAATGAACATCCACAATCCTCAGGTAGTTTTTCACCAACCAATGATAGGAAAACAGTTATGTAATGTGTCACTCAGACTATTTTATTTTTCAGGGTTAAGTCTAAGTGACCAAGTGATTCCAAATTATACTGGGACTTATATAGCTTTCTTTCACAGGTAATATAGAAAAATCAGGTATGAAGAGTACACACTACCCTCTCCAGAATAAAATTTAGATAAATGACAGTCTCTTTGGGGATTAAGGAAACTGAACAAGCTAAGATATATCTCCTGTTGATCAATTATGAGAATTGGGAGAGTATAGATTTCGATACCATATAGATTACTTTGTTCACTGCTATTTTTATACTGACAGGATGTCAGAAGGCTGTAGAATGAAGTGGACAAAATGTTCTGGTAACAATAAAGGCGAAGAGATAAAAGGTCCAAACAAATCATAATTATAATGACTCATCCTAAAATTCTTCCATGTGCCGTGTCCCTTTAAGGCGTTAACGATCATGACTCTTCACTATCTCCTGTCCTTTGTATCTCTTAATAAATTTTGTCTTTTTGTTATCTCTCCTAAACCTTGTTCCACCATCCATTTACTCATTTACTATGCATGGTTTTCATCTGTCCTGTGAGTATCAAATTTTCTATGCCCTCTTTCCTCATTATGTGCCTTAGAAATTTCAACTATCTCTTCCTGAGATATGCATCTTTGTTGTTTCCATTTTCTCTAAAACTTTGTCATTGCTCACATGTTTGGGTCATAGTACTCTCAACATCCTTCTGTAGAACCATATTTCTGTGCTGCAAGTCTCTTCTTTGTATGTGAGGAAAATTAGAGAAAGTAAAACAAGTTATAGCTGTTGATACTATTAAAAATTAGTTTTACTTCATTAACACTTAATTAAAAAATGTATTCAGTCATCATCATTGACTATCATATTCAACAAAGACACAAGAAGGAGATTCATCTTTGAATCACATGATATCCATGTTTTCAGGCCAATGCTCACAGGTAACTGGCCAACCTCAATGCTGTGATTGTTGCCATTCCATTAGTAAGCATTCAGTACCATACAGGGCAGACTGCAGCCAGCTGTTCCCAGTTGGTTATCTTGATCTGCATTGCTTTCATGTCCCTATTGATGCAGTCCTTATAGCGGTGTCACTTTACACACACTGATTTTCAGCAACTGAGAGTTCAATCATATATTTATATTAGATCCGTGATTACCAATTTTCATCTCAAAGTAAAATTAAGTTTCACAATTAAACTTAAATATTTAAACTCATTTCACACATATACATAAGAGAGGCTGCTGAAAACTTGTCCATGTAACCAAGAAGCTCTTAAGATTTTAAAAAGGTTATGCTGAGAATATTTCAGAACTCTCTTATATATATTACACAAAACACATTGCCAGGTTAATTCTGCACTACATAAAATATTATATTAATGATTTAATAAATACAAAAAGCAACTTCAAAAGGTGTTATTATAAGAGAACCTACCTAATCCAATATAAACCCATGTAAATAATCCCCAATAAAGAAGTTTACTTTAGGAATAAATATCCTGTTAATGTATTTGCAATTAAACTGTTAAAATAACATATATATTACGCACACAAGTGGACACCGAGGTCAACACCAAGTGGTGACAGTCTGTTTCATGCTTGACCATAAATTTCGGGCCATTTACATACATTCTATCTCTGATATTGAGCACTTTTACCCATAAATATAGTAAGATTTTGATTTACATTTTTTTCTTGAAACAAGATTATTATTTTTTATATCCTTACTTGATACTTTTTATTAATAAGAGAAAATTTAATCAAAGACAAAGTAGCTTACCTGGGCCGTCATCCAGTTCAGAATTTTGTGGAGCTTGAAGATTTACTTGCCCTGTTAAAAAAAGCATAATTTTCTATCAAACATATTCATCTCCTATTTAAGGCTACTACATACAAACATACATCCAGTAACCATGATGGTAAGGCTTCCCCCCTCCTTGATCTCTGATTTACCTCCATCCACGAGTCTTGTTGTGCCATGTAGTTCCATCCTCTTGGCAACTCTGATCATGCCATCATGTCTGTTAACATCTCCTTCTACTCCTACCCCAGTAAAGAACTTCCCACCAACAGAACATCTTTCTGTTATCAACAAGCAGACTGAGATTCATTCTGTGATTCCTTTCACAATGTCCCCTGAAATATTGTTTTTTAATCTCCCCATCCAAAAATTTGCATCTGAAGTCTTATCCTGGGTAAAAGCTGGAATTGAGGCTTTCATCTCCGCAAGAAAATATAAAGTGAAATCGTGTTCATCCCCTTGGTTCTCAGCTGCTATTGCCCACAGGAATCACTACTTCCATTTGTATCATAGCGACATGTCTGATTGCAACAGATGTCTCTTTGTCACTGCCCACAAGTGCAAGCATGTCCTCAATGAAGCAAAGTTACTCTTTGCTGAAAGAATAAAACAACGTATTGCTTCACACATTTTGGTCCTAAAGATTATTGGCAGCTCTGCAAGCACATGTTGAACAACAGCAAATCCACAATACCTCCATTATTCAACTAATTTGAGGTCCTGACTTCCTCAGCTGACAAGGCTGAATGCTATGCTCAGTAATTCTCACCCAATTCAACGCTAGACTCATCTGGTGTACCCACACCCAATTTTCTCCCCAAACTGAGGCTCTACTGAGTGAGATGCACTGAGTGGTATTGGACATCATCTCTAAATTAGACTCCTATAATGCTAGAGGTGGGGACAGGATACCGGCCATTGTCCTCAAGAAATGTGCTTCTGAACTGGCTCCTGTCATCTCTAAAATATACTACTGCCTCACTGACTCTTACTTCCCAGCCTGTTGGAAGTCCTCATCTGTTGCTCCTGTCTTTAAGAACTCTTCTGACCCATTTAACTACTGACCTATCACTCTCCTACCACTTTTCAACAAAGTCTTTGAGGCTTTAATCAATGCTAAAGTGATTAAGCACCTTACTTTCCATAATCTACTCTGCAACAAGCAATATGGTTTCGACTTTGCTTAATCTACTGCTGACGTACTCAGCCATAACTGAATTTACATACCAAGCATGTCACAATAATGGAGAAGCTTGAGCTGTGACTCTAGATACCTCTAAAACATTTGATAGGGTTTGGCATACCGGCCTTCTTCGTAAGCTTCAAGGAAATGGCATTACAGAACAACTATTTGACTTATTACAATCATTCTTGTCAAACTGTGAAATGAACGTCGTCCTAAATGGGTTCTCCTCCAGCTCCTTTATCATGAATGCCAGTGTTCCCCAAGGCTCTATCTTGTGTCCTTCACTGTTCCTGATCTTCATTAACTACCTTCCCAATGTCATCAGTTTCCAAGTAAGCATCTATGCAGATGACACTACTATTTACTCCTGCCTCAATAGTAAATCTGGTATCGTTGATAAAACTAACCTGGCCACTGATCTCCAAAAGGACCTCCAATCTGTGGTTGACTGGGGCAGGAAATGGCTCTCACTTACCCACCACAGAGAACCCTACCTGCCTCCCATCAGAATGGCTGATGCCCAACTCCATGTGAGCACCTTATTACACCTGCTTGGTGTCATGTTGTCCACTGATATGAGGTGGAACAAATACATAGACTCAATAGCTTCATCTACTGCAAGGAAAGTTGGTTCTCTGTGTCATGCCAGAAAGTATTTCTCGTTTGAGTCCATCCTTCAAATCTATAAATCAACCATCCATCCTTGCATGGAATATTGTTGTCATATATGGTCTTGTGCCCCCACTGTAAGTCTTGAGATCTTCAACAAAATCCAGAGATGGATATGCAATGTGATAAGTCCTGATCTGGCATCTAGTCTAGTCGCTTTCTCACAGACATGCTGTAGCTTCCCTCTATCTCTTCTATAAGTATTTTCACGGCAACTGTTCCAACAAATTGCTTTCGCTGGTTCCCAGTCTGCATGAATTTTAGTGAGCTACTAGGCTGGCATCTCAGTCCTACCCTTTCACTGTCAAAACGGTTAAATGTAACCATCTCTTCTACTCAAACAGCTTCTTCTCTCACACTTCCTGTCTGTGGAATTCTCTTCCTCTTAATTACTTCCCTGATAATTATAATCTTCAAATATTCAAGTGTAATGTCAATCGACATCTTCTGATACCTTGATCTTGTTTCCCGTCCTTCTCTTTATACTCTCCCCAAACACACCTCTTTACTCTTGTTCTCTCCCCTCTGTAACCCCTTGCGGACTAGTGGCACTCCCACTTTGCTTGGTGAAATGCTTAAAAAAATATATAGTATGTGTGTGTGTTTAGTTTATTTGATCATATATCATAATACATCTTTAAAAGCCACAGTCAAATCTTAATTAACTTTTGTGTCCATAAAAAGGAATATAGGTCAGCAGTTGGTGTATGTAAGAAGTGTCTGAAAGTATTTGATCAAGTTATTTAGCTATTCCTTTTAATATTATAAAGATCTAAGATCATAATAGTTGAAGACAAAAAATGATTATAGATGGTAGTCTTTTTAAAATTTTAATTTTTAATTATTAGTATTATGATGTCTGCACATGGGATAACATGCACAAACAAGATTTTTCTCAGAATATATCAGTCAGTTGTTAAAATATATTCAAAATGCTTGAATTTGTATATCTTAATAATAATAAACAGATCAAGAACCTTGATAACATCTAAATGAATAACAAAAAGTGCTCTAAAATGATTTGGACTGCTCTGGCATGTTAGTTATTGACTTTTGTTCATTCATATGAACAGAAAAACTGTTAAGTAAACCTTAAAAAAAAGCAACAACACACACAAAAAGAAACAATTTATTTTAATTTTTATTTTCCTTTTCTTCATTCCACATTTGTTCATTGTCATAATCAGTCCCATGACTAGGTGGGATTATATGGTCACTGCACAGTTGAGTACCTGGCTATCTCTCTTGCATGTCTCAGTAGGTATTCATTCATACATAGCATATCTTGGGAAAAGTAGACCTGGCAGCTCTCATCCCTCTCTATGTCAGACAAAAGTTGATGTCCTCTGACTTGAATGCTCACTTTGGTCATGGAAAAGCAGTTATTGATTCCATTGAAGGAACCCTTCACCTTGGCCATTAACTTCAGTCTAGTAAGCCTTTTGCTGAGCAATCGTTGTTTTTAAAGATGCTTAATAACAGTCATTATGTTAATAAAGTTGAGATCGATTTTCATAAGTTTGTAAAGATTTTCTTATTTATAATGTTTCATTTAGAAGGCAAGAAAATGGTAATCATAAATAGTCTAAGTTTAGATTTGCTAAATGTTTACTAGGTGGACCATTCATAAATATTTAACCTATTTCCTTTATCTAAAAGATCCAGTTGAAATTAGATTATACTTTTAAAGACAAGAGACTACAGCCAGACAATTGATTTGCTGGAGATTAAACTATGATAATCAATGTTTTATAAACCTTTGATACAAGAAACTAACAATTTGTCTTTTGTTTAAATTGCTTTCAGCTTTGTTTCAAGAGTTTTTTTAAATGTTCCACTGTGCTTGAAAGATAAAGATACTCTATGAAGGACTTCAATAAATCTTCCTTGAATAGCCCCAGTTGGCTACATTAATTAAGGCAAATAAAAAGGAAAATAAATGTAATCAAACAATTCTTGGCAAACATTAACTTTCATGCCTGCAAAAAAAAAAAAAAAAAAAAAAAATATGTAAAAATATAGTGTCAAAAGAATGTTTTTTTTTCCCCATGACACTGCTTTTATCTTAACTACTTCTTGACAATGTTTACTGTTTTAAAAAGTGATGATTATAATTATAATAAAACCTAAACCTATGATGAAAGTGAATTTATAAATTTTTTGTTCTTGAGAATTTACAACAAAAATATTAAACACTATTAGAATGTTTATTTACAAGAATAATTTTATTTACAACATTGATAGAACTAATACAATTAAAACTAATGCAATGCGATATTTATCATTTTATAAAGAAATAAATATGAACATTTTTTATTCATAAATTTATAAACATTTACAAAATTATTAAAATATGTGAACCAACTGTAAGGAATCCTTATTATTTAACATTTTATAAAGTTCAAATCAATTGGTAATTAGTTGATGTTTTGCTAACCATTCCAATAAACAATCTAATAAATAGTGTAAAACAAATAGTGTTTATTATTTTTGTTGTCAATTCTCAAGAACAAAGAAAATATATAAATTCACTTTCATGTTTAAATTTTATCACAATTCTAATCATCGCTTTTTAAAACAATAAACATTGCTGAAGAGTAGTTAAAATAAAAGTGATTTCATGGGAAAACTGTCCTTTTGACACTCCATTTTTTTTGTTTGCACAAAGATCCATGTTTACCAAATTCTTTTCAGATTCTTTTGAAAGTTGACTTTTATGAAAGACTAACATTAGTACAGTCTCTGTTGCAATACAAAACAGTATAAAATGAAAAAAGCAATTACCATTAAATCATATAGCTAAAAACATAGTATTTCCAGACCTATGTCTGCCTGTCTCAGTGTAAAAGATAAGCAAAAAAAATGAACGATATATATTCCTGGATAAACAAAATGAGCCACTGTTAACCTTTCCAAAAGCTGGTCTGCAGACAAAGATGATATTGTGTATGTAGTAGGATTGGGAAGAGATTGTGTATTAGTTCATTTTGAAAAAAGTCAGACATTGAATTCAGGCAAGTACTGTTCCCAGTTTAACTGATTGAGAGGTAACAATTGAGAAAAAAACATCCAGAATTGGACAGTCAGAAAGGTCTTCTATCACGACAACACCAGACCCCACATCTCTTTGTAGACTTCACAGAAATTAGTACAGTATGTCTTATTACAACTATCATACTTACCTGATCTTGCACTTTCAAATTACCACTTATTTTGATCGTTACAAAATTCTCTTAATGAGAACAACTTTAATTTACTTAGACTAGTTCATCACTCAGAAAGATGCCAAGTTCTAGGAGAGTAGAATTATGAAGCTGCATTAATGATGGCAAAAAGTAGTGTAATAAAATAGCACATGTGGTTGACAAATGTACAAATATCTAAATATTTCTTTGAAATTCACTTAAAAATCAATATGAACTTTTGTTCCAACAATATAAATATATAAACAAGTTTCATTAAATTTAACCAACAAGGACTTTTTTTAATTTCTTATTGCATTTTTTCAATTTTCAAATTAGAAGCTATACATTCGAATCAAAATTATGGATAAATTATCCAAATTTCTGTTTTTGTTGAAGTATTTTTGACTGTTTTGGTTATTATCAATGTTGGCAGTAACAGTAGACAAGATTTTGTTGACAATATCCTGGCATTTTTTCAGAACACTAGAATCAAATTCAAACACACATATAAGTGATGTCCCAGATCTTAACTAAACCAAAAAGAATATATCAAATATTTATACATATTATTATTTTATATTTTTTATGTGGTTTCATCAGAATGGCTGATGCCCAACTCCATGAGAGCACCTCGTTGCGCCTGCTTGGTGTCAAGCTATAAAAGAATCTGACCTTCTTTAGCCACCTTCTTCAGCTATTCTAGTCACTGCCATGATAAAGATCCCCATGAAGAAAAAAATAAACAAAAACTCCCTTTTGTATAAACAGAATAAATGTCAGGTGACACTAGCTGAAATTCCAAAAAGGGATTGAACAGATGGAGATTAAATAAATGGATCACATTCAAGGCAATACCTTTTTGGATTTGACTTGATTATATTCAGTATATATAAGCTTTACTACTCAAATCAGTTGAAGGAATACATAGAGGAAAAAGTGTGGTGTGCAAAAAGTGAAGAAAAGAAATAATCTTCAAATACAACTCTACAAATTTAAATTGTTGATCAGTTAATAAATGGTAACGTGAAAATTTGAATTTGGAGCCTATGTTTGCACAAAAATGAGTCAATTTCTGTGTGATCAATTTTTTGCACAGAATTGAGATTTTTAGTGATATTACTTAAATCTATTAAATTTTCTACAATTTTAAATGGGGTTCCACAAATGTGATGTGACAGAAGAGTGACAGTCTGTGTAACCCCAAAGATAACTATTGTGGCCAGCATAGGATACAGCCAATGACCCAGCAAAAAACAAGTGGGCAATACAAAACAATTTGCAACCAATTGATAGGAGTGGATTAAAAAATAAGTAGGTAAATAATACATGAAATCAGCAGTTTGGAAATTTTCTTGATGTTGTTGTCATAGAACAAATTTAATACATTTCTTGACTGAATAGTAACTTGTGATGAAAAATGAATCCTTAAAGAATTTAAACAATAGCTTAATGATATAGTTTCAAAACATTTTTCAAAACCAATAATGCACAATGTAAGCTTATATAGTAATGCTTTGGGGTTTGTAGTTGGCTTGATATACTAGTTTGATTTTCTCCCACAAGGAAGTAATATTCAACCTAATATTCACTGTCAAAAACTGGAAGAGCAATGCAAACTGTAAAAGCTTATTATACTGGAGTCTGACACATTTTCTCATCCACCATATTCTCCAGAAATGTCATCAACTGATTACTATTTTTATAAATATCTGAAAAAAATTTTAAACAATGATTTTTAACAGGGAAACTGGAAAATGTCTAAAAAATTTATTGAGCTGAAGGTCCAATAATTCTACCAGAAAGCATAAAACAAATTTAAATGACTTGTACAGGTATACCTCTCCCTATATCGTTAATTGGTTCCAGAGGTCACAACTTAAGTTGAAATAACTACACTAAGAACTGCAAATAAGCACTCCCCATTGCCTATTACAGTATTTATAATATGTATGTACAGTATTCTGAATAAAATAATTTCCACCTTATCTTCCAGCGATATAGCCTTACACTTAGCATTAGCACGGTGACTTTTCTTCAGAGCAATGGTCAAAAATGTATTCTAAATCACAACTGAAATGTAATTGAAAGAACGTCAATGGCAGAACACATGTAAACAAGCCTGAATGCAAAATCAGTATTGGAGCAGAAAACAACACATGAGTACAGACTGCAATCATGCATTGTTTTCTGTTCCAATACTGATTTGCTCCAAAGTTTTCCTGTTGGCAGGAATTTGAAATAAGAACATCTGCTGAACATATATTATTATACTAATTTTTCTCTTTGATGATTATATATATATATATACACACACACATAATATTTTTTTTTAAATTTATTTAAATATAATTTTAATTGTGCCTATTGTTATTTTAGTGTTTTGATGTTTCTAATATTTTTAACAGCCGACATAAACTTGAGTAAAACGACCTAAGGTGAATCTTATTTTTCCATATAATATTTAAGAAAAACTGACATGTCTTCAAAAATGACTTAATTCAAAATGACTTAAGCCGAGGTATTACTGTATTTTGATGAATATTTTTATTTCTAAACAAATACACTGATTTTTCATGTTAATATTATAAGATTTTGTTAGCAGTACAAAGTTTAAAGATGGTATTCAAGATATTTAAAATATGGAGTTAAAATCAAGTGAAAAAGTAGGTACTGACATTTAATACAGGGGAACAAAAAAAGAAACTAGTTAACTCCCACATTGTTTCCCTCTGTATTAAATGTCAGTTCTTACTTTTTCTCTTGGTTCTTGGTTTTAATTCCATATTTTAAATGTGCATTTTTCTATGCCATCGTTAATATTTTGCTTTGTCCATTTTCCTCCAAAACTCATACATATATAGAAATAAATGGGCAGAAAATCAAATAATTTTTAAGGCACTTGAATAAGTTAAAAACACAGTTCATCTTTTACCTTTGGTGGGCTTGGAAGTATTAAGTCCCATTTATATTTGTTTATTCAATAAAATATAATCAGTTTATATTTAGTCCAGATTACCTGCTGATTGCCTGTGGCCACCTGAAAGATAAAGAAAACTTTAATAAGCAAATTTTTAAAAGTTTTTATAAAAATCAAAATCTGAAAGAAAAAAAATAAATGTTTTATTTACAGAGAGTGGATGGTGTTTGTCCAGAAAAAGGGATTTATTTTCTGCAATCAGCTTATCAGTAAGAACAGTAATAAGGCAAATTGTAGAATTGGCAGCAAATGTCAAAAGTGGCTTAGGAGACATTTTAGAAAGTCTGCAGTATTATTCCATTGCTATTGATAAAACCACAGATATGATGGATACTTGTCAATTTGCAGTGTTTGTGAGGGCGCTAACACCAACATTTGATATTGTGGAAGAATTTTTACAATTAATTCCTATGAAGGAAATAAACACTGGAGCAGATATTTTTTAAATCATTATAAAATGGATAACTGAAACGAATATTGATTTGTCAACGTTTACTGAAGTAACCACAGATGGAATACCAGTGATGATCAGAGAGAAAAAGGTGTTTGTTGCATTGCTCCAAGAACACATTGGTATTGATCACAAACTAATCAAACTTCATTGCATTATTTATCAGGATGCATTACGAGCAAAGTCATTGAATTTTAAGGACATCATGACAGTAGTTGTGAAAACATTGAATTTTATACTCTCAAGAGGACTAAATCATCACCAGTTTCAAGAATTTCTAAAACAAACTGAAGCAGAGTAGGACAACATTACATATTTCAAACGTTCAATAGTTTAGACATGGAAAAATGCTGGAATGAGTATAAGCAAAGAGATTGTTATGTTTTTGGAGAGTAAAGACCAAGATAATTCTTACTTTCAGGTTCCAGAGTTGATGTTTGGTCAAATTACTGTTTTTGAAAGAAAACTGACTCTGGGAATCACTACTTCAGAAAGGAAACTACTCTCATTTTCCAAATCTCCAAAATCCCAAGAGAGATATAATAAGAGACATGTTGTGAGCTCTAAATAGAATTTGAGAAGCAAGTTTTCCTCCCGTTTTGCTGACTTCCAGTAATATCAAAATCAATTTAAATTATTTGGTACTCCTTATGAAACAGATGTGGAGCAAGTGTCAGAAAAATATCAGTTGAGATTTACAATGTGATGATTTTTTAAATCAAAATTTAATTCTGAATCTACTGCTTTCTACAAGAAACATGTTTTACCAAGCGGAAAATATAAAAGCCTATTGAATAATGTGAAAATGATGGTGTCATTATTTGGAAATACATATGCTTGTGAACAACTTTTATTGAAAATAAAATACACTAAAGGTCATTTAAGAACAAGGTTAGGTAATGACCACCTCGATAATGTTTTATTCCTATCATCAACAAATATTTCACCTGATGTGGAGAAGTTATTGAACAATAAGCAGAAACAAGTGTCTCATTAAATAATTTGCTATTTCTAATTGTATTTTGTCTGTAATAAGGAATTTGCATTTTTTGTGGTTTGTGTTAGTTGTTATCCTATTATTCCTGCAATCAAATAAGGAACCTTGTTTAAATAATATAACATTAACTTTGTTGTTTTCTCTTTAAACTTCCAAACAAAGACAGCCTTCTGGATGGAGCAGCTTGAAGTCAAGATAATTTATTATAGTACATTTGATATCATGAGCCTCATAGGAGACACTGCATAGCTGTCTGGTTCGCTCTCTCCAAAAGGTTGCTGACCTCTGTACTAGAAGTACTTACAAAATTTTTTATAGATTTCTTATTTGAATTTTCTGATGCATCATAATTCTTAATTTAATAACTGAATAAGCTCCTTGCAAGTTCCACAATGATGAAATATCCACGGATATTCCCATATTGCATCATTGAATATTTGAACTTAACAACTTGAACAAAATAATAACAATCATAAGCATGAATGTAAGACTTTAAAGTAGTAAGAGGGTACAAATGAAAACATTAAAAACTGACAAAATTTGCCATTTCACTGAAGCAGAGGTTAAATGCATAAGAGCATTATCTCTTCCTCTATCTTCCCTTTCTTTCTTCTCTTCTTATGTAAACTTTCTGTTTCTTATTAAAACCACTACCCCCAACACATCTTTTTCTTCCATCTTCCCTTGCAATCAAAACAGAATGGTTCATTATTTATCTGAGGTAATAGCAGGGCATTATGTATATGTTTACTAACTTACAGAGGAACAAGCAGAATTATATGATACATTTAATATTTGCTATGTCATTATAAGCATTCAATCATTGAAATAAACACGGAGAGATGTTTTACTGGGATAGGCTGATGTTTGCCAGTCAGAATTGCTTAGCCTCCATCTAGGTGGATGATGGGGAAATGATTGCTACTGTATGTATTTTCAGACACACTCCAAGTAAAGTCTGGGCAAATTGCTGGATCACACATGGTTAGGTCAATTGCTGATAAGCTCCCAAGTGCTGGATTGATGTGTGTCAGTGTTTTTTGATTGAGCAGGCATAGACCATTATCTATAATTTTTCCTTTTTTTGTTTGTCTCCTTGGATACCCAAATGATACTGTGGCTATTAAAATCCTCTAGGAGAATGAAGGGATTGGGTAATTGCTTTATCAGATCTTCCAGCTTCTCTTGATATATCTGGTCATGCAGTGGGATTTACAGAGAGTATATGCTGACTGTTCTGTGCAAAGTGGCTCTCATGGCAGTTGCCTGTAATTCTGTTTGTAGATCAACTTTACTCTGGGGTATGTCATTTTTGGTTATGACAGTTATGCCTCCAGAAGCCCTGAGTCATGAGTTGTGAATGTGATTGTATTGATAATTTCTAATATTAATGTTGTTTTTTTTTTTCATAAATATTTCTTGGAGACAGATGAAAGCAGGCTCCAATATTGTTATTAACATGAGTAATTCATTATAATTTGGCTTTAGTCCACACAGTTCCATTGGATTATTCTATATCACATGTTTGTATTTTTGAGTTTTGTACTTTTTTTGGTAGTGTATCATCCATCCTCTCTTGAATCACAAATTTATTTGTTGTGGGTGTCAGAGGTAGTTTTTTTGTTGGTTTGTCAAGTTTTTTGGGTGACCTTCCAGAGATGTCTATTTTGAGATTTGGTGGGTGGATCTTTGAGATTTTTGTTTAATGGGTTTGCTTTAAGTGTAGATTTAGAATTTTCTATAGGTGGTATTTGAGCTGTAGTATATGGGTTTGAAATGTTTTCTTCCAATTTATTTAGTATTTCTGCAAAAACTGCTCAATGAGCACTGTATATTTGTGTGTTTTATTGTTATCATTACTGCTAAATGGATTTACCTTCTGAGCTACATTGGCATAAGTATGGCCTTTCATATACAAATCCACTATTTTTCTTGTTTCTGAGAAAGATATATCTCTTCTATACTTCACCTCCATGATTTCTTTCTCCTTTCTCTATATATATATATATATATATATATATATATATATATAGCAATATTTAAAAAGGCTGGATAGCTTTCTTGACAATTAGAGCATGCAGTATTGTAACTCAGCTATGTGTTCGACAACCCTTTTGACCATTGACATGTCTATCATTACACCTATCATTTCTTAACTCACACACTACACTCCCCCAGTTTCAAGCTTTGTCTCTTCTTTTTCCTCTCACCTGCAAGTCACTAGCTCCACTAGTTTGGTTGTATAATAATTATTTGTTGTAATTACTTTCTTTTTCCTCCTCAATTGAGGCTGGCGTGTTATCTCGATAGGGTTGATTCAAGTTTCCCAAAACCTCATGATATTGGGATTTGATGGTGAAGTCTAGTGTGAACCTCTTAAATACATTGTGTACTATGGACTGCACCAAAGACCACATAATTCCTGTCGAAGATTACTCAATTCTGTCTACAGCTATGGTAAACTTTTATCTTTTTTGTTCAGGTGCTTGTTGGAACTTGGTCTGGAAAAAGAGCACCTTCATGAAATGCACAACACTGTTAAGAACAGATTTATTGAATATAAAGAAAACAGATTGAATAAAATGTCTATCAGCTACTGCAAATCAAAATACTCTACTGCAGGAGTGATGATTTGGAGATTCAGTTTGCACCCAGTCAATTCTTCAGATACGCATGGGAGATTTCATAACTGCTCAAGTAATAGCCAACTCGTCAGCCTTCCTCAATTCTTCTGTCATGTGTGTGTGTTTTTGTACTGGCCTGGAAATTGTGAGTATGCTCTTTAGCAAAAACTGTCTTACAAGTAATTCTGGGCCATACCAAAATGCAGGTCATCTGCCTGGGTCTGATGTCTGCTTGATGCTCAAGGAAGAATAACTATCAAGCGAACACTCGCTGGACATATATAAAGAATCTTTACCTGATAACAATGATTGATGACTTCCTCTAACTACACAGGCAACAAACAATGACAATTTGTAATGCCATGCCCGAATTTCATTATCTCCATATTCCCGTAAGCAGAAATCTGGTCTTCTCACTCATGCCAAAAATCCAAAAATAATGTCAATTATAAAAAATTTAACTAAATGTTGCAGAAAAAAAAAAATAAGACCCATCCCTAATCTTAGGCATTATGGTATTTCCATTGTATATTGCTAATCTTTTTTGTAAAGATATTTTTTCTGGGTGGTCAACACAACCTTTCTACATAAACCAGATGTCCCTTAGTTCTTTGACCAGAATAATTTAGATTGTTAATTTTGGTGACTACACATATTTCTCTATTGATAAGGTATTGTTAACAGCATCTGTTTCTTCCATTTTCTCAGGGCCCAACAACTCGAAACAATTGGCTCTTTCTTATTGGCGGGAAGGGAGGGAGGACTGAAAATTTTGGTTTTGCTCAATCTTACTAAATTCTGTCTAGTTAAATTTGGGTTCCATTCTCCTTGGAACTGATCTTGATTTTATTATTTTAAAACAATTTCTAATGCATTTTGTTTTTAATTTTCTTCTCCACTATCCAACTCAATTTCCTGAGAATTTCAACAATTATCATCCAACTAGTATTCACACCAAATCACCATCCTATAATTTCATGCATTTAAAAGTTGAAAACAGGGCCAGTGCCCTGTTACATTGTGTGTACACTCTTTCTCCATATAATCTGGGTCTTTTTGACCACGTTTCCACATCTTGGGTGTCCTCTACTTGTAGTGCCCATATTTCTAACACTTGAAACACCTCAAGGGATTGGAGATGTATTGCTCAACCCTCTCAATCATAAATACACTTTTTATTTCTTTGGGGATTGAGGGTTTATTAAAAGTTAAAATATATGTGTTATTTGAATTTGTCGATCACCACATTTTATGCTTATCCTTCTATAGTTGGCGACTTCTTGTTTTCTTAAAGCTGCATTTA